GGGGGGAGGGAGAGAGGGAGACGCGGAGCGGAGCAGGGAGGATAAAGAAGGAGCTGGCTGAGGTCCAGGGAACAAGCATTCTCCCTCCTCTCAACAGGTGGCCATTTTGATTGTCCTACTACTCCTGCTGTGTGAACCCTGTCACCTCCGTCTGTAGATGGTGGGTCTCTTCTACAGTAGTAGTTACTACATGATTTAAACAGTAAACCGTTTTTACTTGTACTGGCAGATAGTGTCTATTTTTTTGTCGCATTCTTTAAGATTTGTGTCTTAAAAAAAGTATATAAATCTAAATTAAACAACATAATAATAGACTTCAAATACCGGTAAGTAAACACCGGGCTCCCGAGTGGCGCAGCGGTCTAAGGCACTGCATCTCAGTGCTTGAGGCGTCACTACAAACCCCCTGGTTTGATTCCAGGCTGTATCACAACCGGCCGTGATTGGGAGTCCCATAGGGGCGGCGCACAATTGGCCCAGCGTCGTCCGGGTTTGGCCGGTGTAGGCCGTCATTGTAAATAAGGTTTTGTTCTTAACTGACTTGCCTGGTTAAATAAAGGTAAAATAAAAAAGCTGACTGTAGTTTAGGTTGGGAAACCTCACCTCAGCTAGCTGGGAAGCTGTTTCTCAAGTACTGTGACATCATTGTTAAACTAAATGACTGAGGCGTTTGACATGGCGGGTGTGATCTACCAGGAAGGAAGCATTGCATAAGGACTGATGCTTCATTTGTCAGGAAGTCTGTTACTTTCTGTTTACTGGACATGTTGATGAAAATGTTAAGGCAGTGTTTCTAATCTACAGTATATAGGTATTCATTATTTATTGTCTTACTATTTCTGTATTTTTAGAGTATTGGGAAAGTAAAAACCCTGATGAAGGCTACGGGCCAAAACACATTGGTTTTACCTTTTAACAATAAATAACCATTTTTAACAACTTCCACTGTCCTCCAAGAGTTGCTGAATTTCCTCTTGGCTTTAGTGTTTCTAAAGCAGGGTGTCTTTAAACTATGGGTCGGGTCCCAAAGTGGGCTCTGGGGCATGTGGGTCGGAAGTAATGAGAACACATCTATAAATCACCCACTATTTCTTCTTGATTGGGGTCGTTGGAGGATAACTCGGGTCACAGGATGACGGTACATTTCTAATTTGGGTCTGGAGCTGAAAGAGATGAGAGTGTACAGGATATGTCTCAGCTGCCATATTACAACCATTAAGAGCATTCAGTAAATAAGGGTGTTTTTGATCAGAAGATTATAATCTTTACTTCTTCCACCAGCTCAGTGTTGACCTACCGAAAGAAAACCGGCAGCTGTCACTCAGTGGAGGACTTACCCTCCCTTACAAAAAAAAAAAAAAAACACGTGGTTTTCTAACGCGTGTGAACAAATCACATGACAAATTTCACGTAAAAAATATACACTACCGGTCAAAGATTTTAAAACACCTGCTCATTCAAGGGTTTTTCTTTATTTTTACTATTTTCTACATTGTAGAATAATAGTGAAGACATCAAAAGTATGAAATAACACATATGGAATCATGTAGTAACCAAAAAAGTGTTAAACAAATCAAAGTATATTTTATATTTTGAGATTCTTCAAATAGCCACCCTTTGCCTTGATGACAGATAAAGTGGAAGTCGGATTTCCGTTGGACCTTGGTGTACAATTGGTCATTAAAGTTCTTTGTCTGTCTGTCTGTCCGTCTAGTCACAGTATACCAACCTGGGGCTGCTGAACAGCATGGATCAGAACATCCAAAATGGCAGCTCTACCTCCACCAGTCCCTACAACAACGACCATGTCCAGAACAACGTGTCAGCTCCTTCACCCTACGCCCAGCCCAGCTCCACCTTCGACGCCATGTCCCCCTCCCCGGCCATCCCCTCCAACACAGACTACGCTGGGGGACACACCTTCGACGTCTCCTTCCAACAGTCATCCACAGCCAAGTCTGCCACCTGGACGGTAAGAGTTCATATCAAATCAATAGATTTATTGATCAAGTTGATTACTTGATTTTAAAGTGCATTTCACATGGGTCTCAACACACTTTACAAATTCCTATAGCACCAGTCACAATTGTATCTGTTACCTCTAGCAATGACAGATGTTATGTTTGGAAATGCGTTCGTTCCATTTATCATCCAATTGAATATCTACAAAAATTATGCCAAGTGACTCAAAATGATTTGAATTCATCATTATTTGTATTGGAAGTAGAGGTCTGCGATGTCTAAGGTATGGTTGATTGATGTGTTCTATCATAGGCCACACCCACCTTGCGAGCAAAACATTTTAGTTTCCCACTTGACAGCGGAGAGAAAATGAGGTCATTTCCTGCAATGCTACACATTTTGCGGTGGGGCAGAGAGAAGATTTGACAGTTTTACATCCAATTTCCTGAAATTCTACACATTTTGTCATAGGGTGGAAAAAAATGTTTGCAGCTTTTAATATGATATCGGAGTGAGGGTGACTAAGAAAATCAAATGGGGGCTCCCCGGTCGGTAATTCAACCATGATTATTCCAAGTTTATAATCTGACTAGACTAATTTACCAATGTAAATATGTTTTGCTAACATGGGCTAATTCAGTGACTGACATAACAAGAGAAACATTTCGAAATTGCACCTTGTGTATTCTACTATTCTAACTCTCAATAGTAAGTTGATACCCTGAAAATACAACATATTTCCGGGGGAAATTGATCCGCTGGTCTACTAAAGGGAGGCAGGCCGCCAGTCGCCCATTCCTGCTCTACATGATAAGTGTGTGAAGATTCTATCAAGACAATCAGTGCACCAGGCAACAAGTCAACTTTTCTCTATTGCACAACTATGACTGCATGTCTACCTCATCTAATCTCATGACAGAAGAACCTCAAGCCTTTTCTCAGGGACTCGGCCATGACAGAAGAACCTCAAGCCTTTTCTCAGGGACTCGGCCATGACAGAAGAACCTCAAGCCTTTTCTCAGGGACTCGGCCATGACAGAAGAACCTCAAGCCTTTTCTCAGGGACTCGGCCATGACAGAAGAACCTCAAGCCTTTTCTCAGGGACTCGGCCATGACAGAAGAACCTCCAGCCTTTTCTCAGGGACTCGGCCATGACAGAAGAACCTCCAGCCTTTTCTCAGGGACTCGGCCATGACAGAAGAACCTCCAGCCTTTTCTCAGGGACTCGGCCATGACAGAAGAACCTCCAGCCTTTTCTCAGGGACTCGGCCATGACAGAAGAACCTCAAGCCTTTTCTCAGGGACTCAGCCATGACAGGAGAACCTCAAGCCTTTTCTCAGGGACTCGGCCATGACAGAAGAACCTCAAGCCTTTTCTCAGGGACTCGGCCATGACAGAAGAACCTCCAGCCTTTTCTCAGGGACTCGGCCATGACAGAATAACCTCCAGCCTTTTCTCAGGTACTCGGCCATGACAGAAGAACCTCCAGCCTTTTCTCAGGGACTCGGCCATGACAGAAGAACCTCCAGCCTTTTCTCAGGGACTCGGCCATGACAGAAGAACCTCAAGCCTTTTCTCAGGGACTCGGCCATGACAGAAGAACCTCAAGCCTTTTCTCAGGGACTCGGCCATGACAGAAGAACCTCAAGCCTTTTCTCAGGGACTCGGCCATGACAGAAGAACCTCAAGCCTTTTCTCAGGGACTCGGCCATGACAGAAGAACCTCAAGCCTTTTCTCAGGGACTCGGCCATGACAGAAGAACCTCAAGCCTTTTCTCAGGGACTCGGCCATGACAGAAGAACCTCAAGCCTTTTCTCAGGGACTCGGCCATGACAGAAGAACCTCAAGCCTTTTCTCAGGGACTCGGCCATGACAGTTTAGTTGGGTTGTTACAGGAAGCAAAAGAACGATGTGTGTCTTCTGGATCGTCCAGAATGGTAATGGTCTAAATACATTCAAGGACTTCACCTTTCTTCCAGAAGTTACCTTTAACATTAGATTCAATCTGTATCGCGATAGATCCGTGCTATAGCGCAACGGAAATCACCAAGACTGCATTTACGGTAAACGCTGCATGTGACAGCGCAATCTGAAATTACCTTTACATTTCAATCATGATATAACATGGATCTTCCGCGATACGGATTGAATCTAGCCCTTAATCTAGATGTCTTTACCCCATCTGAACTCCTTGATCTAATCTGACTGACAACTGATGTTGTCATTATGTGACAATGCTGTAGTGCCAGCTGTTGTCTGAGTCCCACCGTGACCACGCGTACTGGCTCCGTGACCACGCGTACAGGCTCCGTGACCACGCGTACTGGCTCCGTGACCACGCGTACTGGCTCCGTGACCACGCGTACTGGCTCCGTGACCACGCGTACTGGCTCCGTGACCACGCGTACTGGCTCCGTGACCACGCGTACTGGCTCCGTGACCACGCGTACTGGCTCCGTGACCACGCGTACTGGCTCCAGGCCGTGTCATGCCATATACAGTGGAACCATGCCATGTACCGTTGTGTAAAATCGAAAGCCAAGTGCACCGTTCCTAGCAACCAGCTGAGCTGCTCAATATCTCACCTGCAGATGGAGATGTCGACCATCAGTATTATCACAGAACCAGCTGAGCTGCTCAATATCTCACCTGCAGATGGAGATGTCGACCATCAGTATTATCACAGAACCAGCTGAGCTGCTCCATATCGCACCTGCAGATGGAGATGTCGACCATCAGTATTATCACAGAAAGTGAGAACTTGAAATAATTATTGGGTTGGATCCATTGCCTTTCTACGTTCTATATATAGGCTGTTTACTTCAAGTGTTGGATCTCTTGTGAAATCAGAATATTCATGGGAAACTATGTGGCTAAACCAGTCTTACGTGGTGCCATGCCACTTATACGTTGGGCCATTATGGTCCAGCTGAGCCATCAATCTCCTATTTGGCAGACGGTAGAAGGGAGTGATGCAGAACCTGTGGGCTTATTGCCTAATTATCAACCAACGGTAGGTAGGTCATGTCTTAGAGTCAACAGGCGGGACTCGGGGAGTACTCTGGGGCCATCTCAGCCAGCTCATTGGCTACAACGACCGTGGGATAGTGACATTTACCCAATTCCAACGCTGCCTCTCTCTCGTCCTTCTCAACTCTACAGCACAGAAACAACGGTGGTCTGTCTGTGTGTGGAGAGAACAGGGAAGAGTCTACTCTGGATCATAAAGTCACAACAGTCATAACACATGATGCAATATTGGTTTACCTGATGCTTTGGTCTGAGCTCATCATGAGGAAGATTAAGCCAATGACCTTTGGCCTATATAATGCTTAGGCTGTCTTCCATACACAATAGGAGGATGCATAATAGAACTGGACTGGAAACCAATGCACACTAAAAAAAAAAGTGGGACGACGCCTTTGTTCATCTGAAGTGCTTTTATTGATTGGAATTATTAGAAAATTATACTTTGTTTCATTCAACCTGTTTTATTCAATTAGTCTGATCTGTCGAATTCAATGTGATTTTTTTATTTTTATTTATTGAGTGAAAGTTTCTAAATTGCTTTCAACACCTCATGCTAGAGGTGTTCACGGATCCACCCGGACCCGAGTACCCGAGACCCGATGTGGGAGCCGAGTGGATCCGGATCCAGGGAATTCTAAATAATGTCACGGGTCAGATCTGATATGATTGTCACGGGTCTCGGGTATGTGTAATTTTTAAATGACTTGTCCGGATGGACCCGTACAGATCCGGACGCGACTGCTGCAGTAGAGAGAGAAATTGTATAATTTATGCTGCTGCCCTTTTGCTTTTCACCAGAGTGGCGCGTGTAGCTTGTTGTTGTTGTTGTTGGCCAATCAGAGTGGCGCGTGGAGCTTGTTGTTGTTGTTGGCAACACCAGAGTGGCGCGTGTAGCTTGTTGTTGTTGTTGGCCAATCAGAGTGGCGTGTGTAGCTTGTTGTTGTTGTTGGCCAATCAGAGTGGCGCGTGTAGCTTGTTGTTGTTGGCCAATCAGAGTGGCGCGTGTAGCTTGTTGTTGTTGGCCAATCAGAGTGGCGCGTGTAGCTTGTTGTTGTTGTTGGCCAATCAGAAGTCATCAAAGCGCCACTAGGCTACAGCCCTAGAGCCTCTGTGGGGCTAAAGTGAGGAGATACAGTGCCTTCAGAAAGTATTCACACCCCATGAGTTTTTCCAAGTTTTGTTGTTTTACAGCCTGAATTTAAAATGGATTAAATGTCGATGTTCTGTCACCGGCCTACACACAATACCCCATAATGTCAGAGTGGAATTATGACTTACAAATTAATAAAAAATCAAAAGCTGAAATGTCTTGAGTCAGTAAGTATTCAACCCCTTTGTTATGGCAAGCCTAAATAAGTTCAGGAGTAAAAATGTGCTTAACAAGTCACATAATAAGTTGCATGGGCTCACTCTGTGTGCAATAATAGTGTTTAACATTAATTTTGACCAACTACCTCGTCTCTGTACCCCACATATACAATTATTTGTAAGGTCCCTCAGTCGAGCAGTGAATTTCAAACACAGATTCACCCACAAAGACCAGGGAGGCTTCCCAATGCCTCGCTAAATAGGGCAAAGACCAGGGAGGCTTCCCAATGCCTCGCTAAATAGGGCAAAGACCAGGGAGGCTTCCCAATGCCTCGCTAAATAGGGCAAAGACCAGGGAGGCTTCCCAATGCCTCGCTAAATAGGGCAAAGACCAGGGAGGCTTCCCAATGCCTCGCTAAATAGGGCAAAGACCAGGGAGGCTTCCCAATGCCTCGCTAAATAGGGCAAAGACCAGGGAGGCTTCCCAATGCCTCGCTAAATAGGGCAAAGACCAGGGAGGCTTCCCAATGCCTCGCTAAATAGGGCAAAGACCAGGGAGGCTTCCCAATGCCTCGCTAAATAGGGCAAAGACCAGGGAGGTTTCCCAATGCCTCGCTAAATAGGGCACCGATTGGTAGAATAAAGCATTGAATATCCCTTTGAGCGTGGTGAAGTTATTAATTACACTTTGGATGGTGTATCAATACACCCAGTCAATAGAAAGATACAGGCGTCCTTCCTAACCCAGTTGTCGGAGAGGAAGGAAACAGCTCAGGGATTTCACCATGAGGCCAATGGTGACTTTAAAACAGTTACAGAGTTTAATGGCTGTGATAGGAGAAAACTGAGGATGGATCAACAACATTGTAGTAACTACACAATACTAACCTAAATGACAGAGTGAAAAGAAGGAAGCCTGTACAGAATACAAATATTCTAAATATTCATGCATCCTGTTTGCAACAAGGCACTAAAGTAATACTGCAGAAAATGTAGCAAAGGAATTAACTTTTTGCCCTGAATACAAAGTATTATAGTTTGGGGCAAATCCAAAACAACACATTACTGAGTACCATTCTCCATATTTTCAAGCATAGTGGTGGCTGCATCATGTTATGGGTATGCTTGTAATCGTTAAGGACGCGGCAGTTTTTCAGGATAAAAAAAAGAAACGGAATGGTTCAGTCTGCTTTCCACCAGACACTGGGAGATGAATTCACCTGTCAGCAGGACAATAACCTAAAACACAAGACCAAATCTACACTGGAGTTGCTTACCAAGAAGACAGTGAATGTTCCTGAGTGGCCGAGTTACAGTTTTGACTTAAATCTACTTGAAAATCTATGGCAAGACTTGAATACATTTCTATAAACCTGTTTTTTTGCTTTTTCATTATGGGGTATTGTGTGTAGATGGGTGAAAAAACTATTTAATCCATTTTGAATTCAGGCTGAAACAACAAAATGTGGAATAAGTCAAGGGGTATGAATACTTTCTGAAGGCACCGTATTTAATCAATAGAAGATGCAATTAAAATTATGGAATGAAAAGTTAAAGGAGAAGGATGGACTACAACGACCAATAGCCAATGGGTAGGCTGCTGCCACCGACCAATAGCCAACAGGTAGGCTGCTGCCACCGACCAATAGCCAACAGGTAGGCTGCTGCCACCGACCAATAGCCAACAGGTAGGCTGCTGCCACCGACCAATAGCCAACAGGTAGGCTGCTGCCACCGACCAATAGCCAACAGGTAGGCTGCTGCCACCGACCAATAGCCAACGGGTAGGCTGCTGCCACCGACCAATAGCCAACGGGTAGGCTGCTGCCACCGACCAATAGCCAACAGGTAGGCTGCTGCCACCGACCAATAGCCAACAGGTCGGCTGCTGCTTAATATTCTGAATGGAGTTGTTGTTCGTAACTGTAGGCACAGGGTCACTGTCCTGCTGCCTCTCTAAGCTCCTGGAAGCTACACAGAATGGCTAGAGTCTAGCTCAGTCACCGGTCTAGCTCAGTCACCGGTCTAGCTCAGTCACCGGTCTAGCTCAGTCACCGGTCTAGCTCAGTCACCGGTCTAGCTCAGTCACCGGTCTAGCTCAGTCACCGGTCTAGCTCAGTCACCGGTCTAGCTCAGTCACCGGTCTAGCTCAGTCACCGGTCTAGCTCAGTCACCGGTCTAGCTCAGTCACCGGTCTGATAGTCTCAGTCACCGGTCTGATAGTCTCAGTCACCGGTCTGATAGTCTCAGTCACCGGTCTGATAGTCTCAGTCACCGGTCTGATAGTCTCAGTCACCGGTCTGATAGTCTCAGTCACCGGTCTGATAGTCTCAGTCACCGGTCTGATAGTCTCAGTCACCGGTCTGATAGTCTTATGGCACAAGGCCACTGTAGACGTTACCACCCCAGCTTTACTCTGTTTTACCCTGCACATAGAGCTGGCCCTTTAGCCGGGCTGGCTGTGGGGGGTTAGGGGGAAAGTCCGACCCGAGTTTACTTAATTCCCTGCCGGTTCCAAGTGGAAAAAGCATCTACTTTGGTGTTATTTCTAATCAGAAAAAAATATTCTCCATGCACTGTAATTTACGACTTGATTAAGAGCTATTGATAAAAGCTGGGTAAATGAGTAATCTGTTGGGAGAAAGGGGATTGTAAATATAAATGACACTTGTTTTAGACCTATTTTACCTTATAACCGCTGGAGACACACGTGAAACCAGTCATATGGCAGCAAACTGAAGCATATCAACTTTCCCGAAGTAAAGTTGATGAAATGCTGTTCCATCAGAATTTAAATTGTACGGCCTTTTAACTTGCAGGGATCTCTAATGTCTTAATTATAGTCTATCCCGACTTCCTCTGTTTCCTGTTTCTATGATAAATATTATCCACTATCAGTATGGACCATCGGTAGTCCTAATAACAACACATTCAACTGCCAATTTACTGCTAGTTCCTTTCAGTTGGTATAGTCTACATTATCATTCCATTTAATTACATTATTAGTTCCTTTCAGTTGGTATAGTCTACATTATCATTCCATTTAATTACATTGTTAGTTCCCTTCAGTTGGTATAGTCTACATTATCATTCCATTTAATTACATTATTAGTTCCTTCAGTTGGTATAGCCTACATTATCATTACATTTAATTACATTATTAGTTCCTTCAGTTGGTATAGCCTACATTATCATTCCATTGAATTACATTGTTTAGTTCACCTTCATTTGCTTCCTTTGTAAAGTTGATGATTTAAAAAAAAAATAGACATTTTTGTGGAGCGCAGACAAGGCCCTAACAGTTTGAACCTGATGCATGGTGAGATACTTGGCCCTGTCATCACACATTTCCATGGTTAGTGCAGGCAACAGACGAGGGTGTAGCCTACTATTGGACACTATTCTCCCTATTATAACTCTATGTACACTAATCTTCCAACAGCACCATGGGTTGAAGAACTGAATGTGGCAATTTTCAGAATGAATCAAACCACCGTTTCTTTCTTTTGTGAGTAAAGGCTCTCCAAGGCTCTTTTAACTCGAATACTCTCCTAAACCTAAATAATCTACAAGATCACAGTATTTTTACATCTACCAATTGGTGCTGAAACGCAGACGAATGTGCATATATTTAGATGGCTTTCTTTCATTGATCCCTAATATTCTGAACCCATTCTCTCTATATATTCTAGTGAGTCTGTCGACAAAATTCTAACTAAAAAGGTTCACCGTATTTAAAGGGATGGCTTAAGATAAATGTTCTGAAAACCTTATTAAATAAAAACTCCACGAGAATATCTGTTGGCCAGCAAGTGGTAGGGTTTTCAGCGGTTGAATTACATTCATTCAGAGTGCGCAAGCTGACTGAATAAGGTACGTCTGAATACCAAATACTGAGAAGTGCGTAGGAAAGGTGTAAATTCCTACGTCTGAATCGGCCCCTTAGTGCACTGTGTTCTGTCTCTGTGTGTTCTGTGTTCTGTGTTCTGTCTCTGTGTGTTCTGTGTTCTGTCTCTGTGTGTTCTGTGTTCTGTCTCTGTGTGTTCTGTGTTCTGTCTCTGTGTGTTCTGTGTTCTGTCTCTGTGTGATCTGTGTTCTGTGTTCTGTCTCTGTGTGTTCTGTGTTCTGTCTCTGTGTGATCTGTGTTCTGTGTTCTGTCTCTGTGTGTTCTGTGTTCTGTCTCTGTGTGTTCTGTGTTCTGTCTCTGTGTGTTCTGTCTTACTCTGTCCTTTATGGTGTGGTTCAATGAGACAAAACATACTCTGTCCTTTATGGTGTGGTTCAATGAGCCAAAACATACTCTGTCCTTTATGGTGTGGTTCAATGAGCCAAAACATACTCTGTCCTTTATGGTGTGGTTCAATGAGACAAAACATACTCTGTCCTTTATGGTGTGGTTCAATGAGACAAAACATACTCTGTCCTTTATGGTGTGGTTCAATGAGACAAAACATACGCTGTCCTTTATGGTGTGGTTCAATGAGACAAAACATACTCTGTCCTTTATGGTGTGGTTCAATGAGACAAAACATACTCTGTCCTTTATGGTGTGGTTCAATGAGACAAAACATACTCTGTCCTTTATGGTGTGGTTCAATGAGCCAAAACATACTCTGTCCTTTATGGTGTGGTTCAATGAGACAAAACATACTCTGTCCTTTATGGTGTGGTTCAATGAGACAAAACATACTCTGTCCTTTATGGTGTGGTTCAATGAGACAAAACATACGCTGTCCTTTATGGTGTGGTTCAATGACCCAAAGACAAATGCCCTAGGTGCATCAGTATATATATATATACTGAATAAAAATATAAAACGCAACATTTAAAGTGTTGGTCCCATGTTTCATGAGCTGAAATAAAAGATCCTAGACATTTTCCATACGCACAAAAAGTTTATTTCTCTCAATTTGGGCACAAATGTCTTTGCATCCCTTTTAGTGAGTGTTTCTCCTTTGCCAAGATAATCCATCCACCTGACAGGTGTGGCATATCTAGAAGCTGATTAAACAGCATGATCATCACATAGGTGCACCTTGTGCCACTCTAAAATGTGCAGTTTTGTTAAACAACACAATGCCACAGATGTCTCATGTTTTGAGGGAGCGTGCAATTGGCATGCTGACTGCAGGAATGCCAAACAGAGCTGTTGCCAGATAATTGAAAGTTAATTTCTCTACCACAAGCCACCTCTATAATTTTAGAGAATTTGGCAAAACATCCATCCGTCCTCAAAACCGCAGACCACGTGTAACCACACCAGTCCAGGACCTCCACATCTGGCTTCTTCACCTGCGGGATCGTCTGAGACCAGCCACCTGGAGAGCTGATGAAACTGTGGGTTTGCACAACTAAAGAATTTCTGCACAAACTGTCAGAAACCATCTCAGGGAAGCTCATCTGCGTGCTCGTTGTCCTCACCAGGGTCTTGACCTGACTGCAGTCCGGCGTCGTAACCGACTTCAGTGGGCAAATGCTCACTGGCCTGCTGGAGAAATGTGCCCTTCATGGATGAATCCTGGTTTCAACTGTACTGGGCAGATGGCAGACAATGTGTATGGTGTCGTGTGGTCGAGCAGTTTGCTGATGTCAGTGTTGAGAACAGAGTGCCCCATGGTGGCGGTGGGGTTATGTTTTGGGCAGGAATAAGCTATGGACAACGAACACAATTGCATTTTTATCAATGGCAATTTGAATGCACAGAGATACCGTGATGAGATCCTGAGGGCCATTGTCGTGCCATTCATCAGCCGCCATCACCCCAAGCATCAGTTGTCAGAGCACCTTACCGATCACTGCACCTGTACACAGCCCATCTGAAATTAGCCCACCCAACTACCTCATCCCTATATTGTTATTTATTTTGCTCTTTTGCACCCCAGTATCTCTATTTGCACATAATCTCTTGCACATCTAGCATTCCAGTGTTAATACTATTGTAATTATTCTGCACTATATAGCCTATTTATTGCCTTACCTCCATAACTTGCTACATTTGCACACACTGTATATATATTTTCTGTTGTATTTTTGACTTTATATTTTTTACCCCATATGTAACTCTGTGTTGTTTTTATTGCACTGCTTTGCTTTATCTTGGCCAGGTCGCAGTTGTAAATGAGAACCTGTTCTCAACTGGCTTACCTGGTTAAATAAAGGTGAAATAAATAAATAAATGTTTCAGCATGATAATGCACAGCCCCATGTTGCAAGGATCTGTACACAATTCCTGGAAGCTGAAAATGTCCCTGTTCTTCCATGGCCTGCATACTCACCAGACATGTCACCCATTGAGCATGTTTGGGATGCTCTGGATTGACGTGTACGACAGCGTGTTCCAGTTCCCGCCAATATCCAGCAACTTCACACAGCCATTGAAGAGGAGTGGGACAACATTCCACAGGCCACAATCAACAGCCTGATCAACTCTATATGAAGGAGATGTGTCGCGCTGCATGAGGCAAATTGTGGTCGCACCAGATACTGACTGGTTTTCTGATCCACGACCCTATTTTTTTTTTAAGGTATCTGTGACCAACAGATGCATATCTGTATTCCCAGTCATGTGAAATCCATAGATTACAGCCAAATTTATTTATTTAAATTGACTGATTTCCTTATATGAACTGTAACTCAGTAAAATCTTTGAAATTGTTGCATGTTGTGTTTATATTTTTGTTCAGTTTAACTATTTGCTATTTGGCTGTTTTCTCTTTGCAGCTACTGTATATTCATGGGTTGAACAGCGTGAGGTGGGGTTTGTCTAGTGTGAGGTTGAACAGCGTGAGGTGGGGTTTGTCTAGTGTGAGGTTGAACAGCGTGAGGTGGGGTTTGTCTAGTGTGAGGTTGAACAGCGTGAGGTGGGGTTTGTCTAGTGTGAGGTTGAACAGCGTGAGGTGGGGTTTGTCTAGTGTGAGGTTGAACAGCGTGAGGTGGGGTTTGTCTAGTGTGAGGTTGAACAGCATGAGGTGGGGTTTGTCTAGTGTGAGGTTGAACAGCGTGAGGTGGGGTTTGTCTAGTGTGAGGTTGAACAGCGTGAGGTTGGGTTTGTCTAGTGTGAGCTTGAACAGCGTGAGGTGGGGTTTGTCTAGTGTGAGGTTGAACAGCGTGAGGTGGGGTTTGTCTAGTGTGAGGTTGAACAGCGTGAGGTGGGGTTTGTCTAGTGCGAGGTTGAACAGCGTGAGGTGGGGTTTGTCTAGTGTGAGGTTGAACAGCGTGAGGTGGGGTTTGTCTAGTGTGAGGTTGAACAGCGTGAGGTGGGGTTTGTCTAGTGTGAGGTTGAACAGCGTGAGATTGGGTTTGTCTAGTGTGAGGTTGAACAGCGTGAGGTTGGGTTTGTCTAGTGTGAGGTTGAACAGCGTGAGATTGGGTTTGTCTAGTGTGAGGTTGAACAGCGTGAGGTTGGGTTTGTCTAGTGTGAGGTTGAACAGCGTGAGATTGGGTTTGTCTAGTGTGAGCTTGAACAGCGTGAGGTGGGGTTTGTCTAGTGTGAGGTTGAACAGCGTGAGGTGGGGTTTGTCTAGTGTGAGGTTGAACAGCGTGAGATTGGGTTTGTCTAGTGTGAGGTTGAACAGCGTGAGGTTGGGTTTGTCTAGTGTGAGGTTGAACAGTGTGAGATTGGGTTTGTCTAGTGTGAGGTTGAACAGCGTGAGGTGGGGTTTGTCTAGTGCGAGGTTGAACAGCGTGAGATTGGGTTTGTCTAGTGTGAGGTTGAAAAGCGTGAGGTGGGGTTTGTCTAGTGTGAGGTTGAACAGCGTGAGATTGGGTTTGTCTAGTGTGAGGTTGAACAGCGTGAGGTGGGGTTTGTCTAGTGTGAGGTTGAACAGCGTGAGGTGGGGTTTGTCTAGTGTGAGGTTGAACAGCGTGAGGTGGGGTTTGTCTAGTGTGAGGTTGAACAGCGTGAGATTGGGTTTGTCTAGTGTGAGGTTGAACAGCGTGAGGTTGGGTTTGTCTAGTGTGAGGTTGAACAGTGTGAGATTGGGTTTGTCTAGTGTGAGGTTGAACAGCGTGAGGTGGGGTTTGTCTAGTGTGAGGTTGAACAGCGTGAGGTGGGGTTTGTCTAGTGTGAGGTTGAACAGCGTGAGGTGGGGTTTGTCTAGTGTGAGGTTGAACAGCGTGAGGTGGGGTTTGTCTAGTGTGAGGTTGAACAGCGTGAGGTGGGGTTTGTCTAGTGTGAGGTTGAACAGCGTGAGGTGGGGTTTGTCTAGTGTGAGGTTGAACAGCGTGAGGTGGGGTTTGTCTAGTGTGAGGTTGAACAGCGTGAGGTTGGGTTTGTCTAGTGTGAGGTTGAACAGCGTGAGGTGGGGTTTGTCTAGTGTGAGGTTGAACAGCGTGAGGTGGGGTTTGTCTAGTGTGAGGTTGAACAGCGTGAGGTTGGGTTTGTCTAGTGTGAGGTTGAACAGCGTGAGGTGGGGTTTGTCTAGTGTGAGCTTGAACAGCGTGAGGTGGGGTTTGTCTAGTGTGAGGTTGAACAGCGTGAGGTGGGGTTTGTCTAGTGTGAGGTTGAACAGCGTGAGGTGGGGTTTGTCTAGTGTGAGGTTGAACAGCGTGAGATTGGGTTTGTCTAGTGTGAGGTTGAACAGCGTGAGGTGGGGTTTGTCTAGTGTGAGGTTGAACAGCGTGAGGTGGGGTTTGTCTAGTGTGAGGTTGAACAGCGTGAGGTGGGGTTTGTCTAGTGTGAGGTTGAACAGCGTGAGGTGGGGTTTGTCTAGTGTGAGCTTGAACAGCGTGAGGTGGGGTTTGTCTAGTGTGAGGTTGAACAGCGTGAGGTGGGGTTTGTCTAGTGTGAGCTTGAACAGCGTGAGGTGGGGTTTGTCTAGTGTGAGCTTGAACAGCGTGAGGTGGGGTTTGTCTAGTGTGAGGTTGAACAGCGTGAGGTGGGGTTTGTCTAGTGTGAGGTTGAACAGCGTGAGGTGGGGTTTGTCTAGTGTGAGGTTGAACAGCGTGAGATTGGGTTTGTCTAGTGCGAGGTTGAACAGCGTGAGGTGGGGTTTGTCTAGTGTGAGGTTGAACAGCGTGAGGTGGGGTTTGTCTAGTGTGAGGTTGAACAGCGTGAGGTGGGGTTTGTCTAGTGGGAGGTTGAACAGCGTGAGGTGGGGTTTGTCTAGTGTGAGGTTGAACAGCGTGAGGTGGGGTTTGTCTAGTGTGAGGTTGAACAGCGTGAGGTGGGGTTTGTCTAGTGTGAGGTTGAACAGCTTGAGGTGGGGTTTGTCTAGTGTGAGGTTGAACAGCTTGAGGTGGGGTTTGTCTAGTGTGAGGTTGAACAGCGTGAGGTGGGGTTTGTCTAGTGTGAGGTTGAACAGCGTGAGGTGGGGTTTGTCTAGTGTGAGGTTGAACAGCGTGAGATTGGGTTTGTCTAGTGTGAGGTTGAACAGCGTGAGGTGGGGTTTGTCTAGTGTGAGGTTGAACAGCGTGAGGTGGGGTTTGTCTAGTGTGAGGTTGAACAGCGTGAGGTGGGGTTTGTCTAGTGTTTTACCTGCCACCAGGTAGGCTAGGCTTGCGTACCAAACGGCACCATTTTGCCTTTGTAGTGCACTACTTTTGACAAGAGCCAAACTGTTGCCTCAACTAGCCCTGATCAACAGTTGTGCACTACACAGGGAATAGGGTGCCGTTTGAGCCACTTCCTAGGTCTCAGGTAGAGTGGAGGAATGTGATGATGGTCTGGGCTGTGTAGGGCTCGGGGGGAGGATTACTGTAATGGATTGAGGACCTGGAGAGAAGTGTGGAAACCTCTCTGCTGATCCCTGCGCTCCGGGCTGGCACGGGGTGTGAGAGAGCTCTGTGTGTGTGTGTACGTTCGCGTGCCTCGGTGCTCCGTCTTTGTTCTGAGGGAGTTGAGCTTTAGCTCTCGACTGCCGTGGCGTCTCCCATTTCACCGCAGGAGGAGGGCCCTCTCAGAGAACCAACCGCTCAAAGAGAAGAGTGTTCCTGGGAACAGCGTTAGGCAAGACGCAACCTGTCCCGGGAACATCTGCGGGGCCAGGGCTCGTCCCACGCCTTAGAGATGGGGCTGAGACTTGTTTATGTCAACGAACCTGTCTAGACTCGCCCCGAACTGAGAGACACAAGCCCTCAAACATACAGCTGGGAAACAACATCAGGGAGAAGGGAAAGAAAGAAGCCAGGGTTTAAAATAAATTATTTCTCCATAATGCTGCAGTCTGGAAAAGGCCCATTTTCAAACTGGTTTTTATTATTATTATTGACCGTGTTTTCTTCCCTGAACAATAGGAGGTTACCCAGGCTATAATGGAACCCCGTTATACAGCAGCAGTGGCATTAGGAGGTTACCCAGGCTATAATGGAATACCGTTAAACAGCAGTAGTGGCATTAGGAGGTTACCCAGGCTATAATGGAACACCGTTAAACAGCAGTAGTGGCATTAGGAGGTTACCCAGGCTATAATGGAACACTGTTAAACAGCAGCAGTGGCATTAGGAGGTTACCCAGGCTATAATGGAACACCGTTATACAGCAGCAGTGGCATTAGGAGGTTACCCAGGCTATAATGGAACACCGTTATACAGCAGCAGTGGCATTAGGAGGTTACCCAGGCTATAATGGAACACCGTTAAACAGCAGTAGTGGCATTAGGAGGTTACCCAGGCTATAATGGAACACCGTTAAACAGCAGTAGTGGCATTAGGAGGTTACCCAGGCTATAATGGAACACCGTTATACAGCAGTAGTGGCATTAGGAGGTTACCCAGGCTATAATGGGCCATAGCTACATATGAGGACACGAGGCCTCAGTCATAAATAATGTAATTTAAAAAACCTTGCCCTGACCTCCAGGGGCCCTGACCTCCAGGGGCCCTGACCTCCAGGGGCCCTGACCTCCAGGAGCCCTGACCTCCAGGGGCCCTGACCTCCAGGGGGCCCTGACCTCCAGGGGGCCCTGACCTCCAGGGGCCCTGACCTCCAGGGGGCCCTGACCTCCAGGGGGCCCTGACCTCCAGGGGCCCTGACCTCCAGGGGGCCCTGACCTCCAGGGGCCCTGACCTCCAGGGGGCCCTGACCTCCAGGGGCCCTGACCTCCAGGGGGCCTGACCTCCAGGGGCCCTGACCTCCAGGGGCCCTGACCTCCAGGGGGCCCTGACCTCCAGGGGGCCTGACCTCCAGGGGCCCTGACCTCCAGGGGCCCTGACCTCCAGGGGGCCCTGACCTCCAGGGGGCCCTGACCTCCAGGGGCCCTGACCTCCAGGAGCCCTGACCTCCAGGGGGCCCTGACCTCCAGGGGGCCCTGACCTCCAGGGGCCCTGACCTCCAGGGGCCCTGACCTCCAGGGGGCCTGACCTCCAGGGGCCCTGACCTCCAGGGGGCCCCCATTGATTTTGTTAGCCACTCTCACTCAGATATCATATTAACATGGAATAAGTCATGGCAAAATGTGTAGAATTGCAGGAAATTAGCTGTAAAACTGCAAGAAAAAGTTCTGTAAAACTAATGTATTTGTTAATAAAATACTTTTTCTGCTAACACACCCCTCTGTACGTATTAAATGATAGCATGGCAGTTGATGTGTTGACGTTCACTTTTGGATGTAGCAACGCTCACTACTTATCACAGAGATGTGATTGGTTGTTAAACTGTAGCTCTAAAAACGAATTGGCTAATCCCAAGAGTGACAGATTCTTATCCCTGGCCACCATCCCAGATCTGGCTAGATAAACATGTCACATCCCAGTACAACGTTACCCAGACACCTGGGATGGCAGCGTCATACGTTTCTACAACCATTGCAGAGATTTTTGTACGCTGATGTTCTTAGTGAGAGCTCCCTTTCGACACTGCTTCCCAAATTATCTTTGCAACACACAGAAATACTTTTTCCTCTTTTGGATTATGTTTTCAGAAACATGTCTTCCAAAACATGTGATGAAAAAACAATGAAATGGTTTCACAGGAAATAAATCGCTAACAAGGAGGAGATTATACGTCCGTTCATTCCTGTTTCTTCTTCTTCTTCAACAAGAGGCAGGTGTTTCTCCTCTGGACAGAAAATAAAATAAAAGACAAACCCTCCTTTTTGCATTTTGGTAGAATTGAGCCAAGTTGGTGAGAAGCTGCTGAAGACATGATGCTACATGTCAGGTATGAAGAGGACAAGACTGGAGGCGCCAAGCCCTGCCTGTTTAAAGGCCCAGCTCTGTCAGAACTTGATTTGGCATGAGCCCGCAGCCACCAGGGGGAAGGAACGCCACAGCATAGGCCTGTCTCAACCTGTACCTGAGACGTGTTGCTGGGAGGAGAACAGTCTGTTTGTGTGTGTTGGGTTGGAGTACCTCTGGTGAGAGATGGAGTAGAAACACAGTCACACAGAAACACACAGACACACACAGACACACACAGACACACAGACACACACAGTTATGCAGGTGTGCTGCACTGTGCGTGTGTGTGTGTGTGTTCGGTAGGCTAATGAATGTGCATTACACGCAAGTTGCAACCATTTGAAATATACAGGATGTCTCATGATCACACATGCTGTTGTCCATTGCAGTTACAGGGGATGAAAAAGAGGGTTTGATTCATTGTATCTATCTGGTGCACACAGTTGGAACGGTCTTTGGTGTCAGGAAGGACAAGGTGTTGGGGGTGGCTTTTCTAAAGAATGTCATTTATCAACAAATAACAAATCAAACAAGTCACGGTTTTTACTCTTGATTAAAAAAAAACACCAAGTCACCTACCAACCTGCCACAGACAGAAGCTTAGTGTTTTTATTCATTAAAAATAACAACGCTCCAATTTTCTTCTCTCTTGACTCCTTGTCAAGCCTGTAAGTGGAGTCAACTGTAGTGACTGGCTGACTGTCTGAGTAGTCAACTGTAGTGACTGGCTGACTGTCTGAGTAGTCAACTGTAGTGACTGGCTGACTGACTGATAGTCCAACTGTAGTGACTGGCTGACTGACTGAGTAGTCAACTGTAGTGACTGGCTGACTGACTGAGTAGTCAACTGTAGTGACTGGCTGACTGACTGAGTAGTCAACTGTAGTGACTGGCTGACTGACTGAGTAGTCAACTGTAGTGACTGGCTGACTGACTGAGTAGTCAACTGTAGTTGACTGGCTGACTGACTGAGTAGTCAACCTGTAGTGACTGGCTGACTGACTGAGTAGTCACTGTAGTGACGGGCTGACGTGAGTGTCAACTGTAGTGACTGGCTGACTGACTGAGTAGTCAACCTGTAGTGACTGGCTGACTGTCCTGAGTAGTCAACTGTAGTGACTGGCTGACTGACTGAGTAGTCAACTGTAGTGACTGGCTGACTGACTGAGTAGTCAACTGTAGTGACTGGCTGACTGACTGTCTGTCTGAGTAGTCAACTGTAGTGACTGGCTGACTGTCTGAGTAGTCAACTGTAGTGACTGGCTGACTGACTGTCTGAGTAGTCAACTGTAGTGACTGACTGACTGTCTGAGTAGTCAACTGTAGTGACTGGCTGACTGACTGTCTGAGTAGTCAACTGTAGTGACTGGCTGACTGACTGACTGTCTGAGTAGTCAACTGTAGTGACTGGCTGACTGACTGACTGTCTGAGTAGTCAACTGTAGTGACTGGCTGACTGTCTGAGTAGTCAACTGTAGTGACTGGCACTGACTGTCTGAGTAGTCAACTGTAGTGACTGGCTGACTGTCTGAGTAGTCAACTGTAGTGACTGGCTGACTGACTGACTGTCTGAGTAGTCAACTGTAGTGACTGCTGACTGACTGTCTGAGTAGTCAACTGTAGTGACTGACTGACTGTCTGAGTAGTCAACTGTAGTGACTGGCTGACTGTCTGAGTAGTCAACTGTAGTGACTGGCTGACTGACTGTCTGAGTAGTCAACTGTAGTGACTGGCTGACTGACTGACTGTCTGAGTAGTCAACTGTAGTGACTGACTGACTGTCTGAGTAGTCAACTGTAGTGACTGACTGACTGTCTGAGTAGTCAACTGTAGTGACGACTGACTGTCTGAGTAGTCAACTGTGTGACTGCTGACTGACTGAGTAGTCAACTGTAGTGACTGGCTGACTGTCTGAGTAGTCAACTGTAGTGACTGGCTGACTGATCTGTTGAGTAGTCAACTGTAGTGACTGCTGACTGCTGAGTAGTCAACTGTAGTGACTGCTGACTGACTGTCTGAGTAGTCAACTGTAGTGACTGGCTGACTGTCTGAGTAGTCAACTGTAGTGACTGGCTGACTGTCTGAGTAGTCAACTGTAGTGACTGGCTGACTGTGTCTGAGTAGTCAACTGTAGTGACTGGCTGACTGTCTGAGTAGTCAACTGTAGTGACTGGCTGACTGTCTGAGTAGTCAACTGTAGTGACTGCTGACTGGACTGTCTGAGTAGTCAACTGTAGTGACTGGCTGACTGTCTGACTGTGAGTCAACTGTAGTGACTGGTGACTGACTGACTGTCTGAGTAGTCAACTGTAGTGACTGGCTGACTGACTGACTGTCTGAGTAGTCAACTGTAGTGACTGACTGACTGTCTGAGTAGTCAACTGTAGTGACTGACTGACTGACTGACTGTCTGAGTAGTCAACTGTAGTGACTGACTGACTGACTGACTGTCTGAGTAGTCAACTATAGTGACTGGCTGTCTGTCTGAGTAGTCAACTATAGTGACTGGCTGACTGTCTGAGTAGTCAACTGTAGTGACTGGCTGACTGACTGAGTAGTCAACTGTAGTGACTGACTGACTGACTGAGTAGTCAACTGTAGTGACTGGCTGACTGTCTGAGTAGTCAACTGTAGTGACTGGCTGACTGTACTGAGTAGTCAACTGTAGTGACTGGCTGACTGACTGACTGTCTGAGTAGTCAACTGTAGTGACTGACTGACTGTCTGAGTAGTCAACTGTAGTGACTGGCTGACTGACTGTCTGAGTAGTCAACTGTAGTGACTGGCTGACTGTCTGAGTAGTCAACTGTAGTGACTGACTGACTGTCTGAGTAGTCAACTGTAGTGACTGACTGACTGTCTGAGTAGTCAACTGTAGTGACTGACTGACTGACTGTCTGAGTAGTCAACTGTAGTGACTGACTGTCTGTCTGAGTAGTCAACTGTAGTGACTGGACTGACTGTCTGAGTAGTCAACTATAGTGTATGTCTGTCTGTCTGTGGAGCTATGTACTCACGCTACCTGGTTCTCCCAAAGCATTTTAGAATTTTTGCATTGTAATTTCATGAAAAGTCCATAATATATCTGCAATAACAGTGGAATGACAGTGTTTCACAGTATTACTTATCCGCCAGTGTTGTGATTGGCTGTGATATTCGCCTATTGATTTCTCCCGCCGGAACGGCATCTGTTGTCAAAATGGGAAAGCTGTTCTGACTTTGTGGCTGTGTTATCTAGTGGAAATTGGGTCAAGTGGCCAATGGAGAAATCGCTCTGTCATTTCCTGGTTGCAAAAATTCTACACTGTTCGCTCAATTTCAGATTATAATAAAATAAAAAATAAATTGGTCATTTAGCAGACGCTCTTATCCAGAGCGATTTACAGGAGCAATTAGGGTTAAGTGCCTTGCTCAAGGGCACAGACAGTTTTTTCACCTAGTCGGCTCGGGGATTAGAACCAGCGACCTTTCGGTTACTGGCACAACGCTCTTAACCACTAAGCTACCTGCCGCCCTATGAGAAAACAAGCACTGTATAGTGTAGGGAATCATTGTACCATCTAAATCGCTGTGAAATATCTTCTCAATAACAGAAAATATAGTTTTTACAGCTGTTCGAAATTTAAAAGGCTGAAACGCGAGTCTCCGCCATGTTACAGGAAATGGGATGCGGGGAGATTTGTTTTGAATGCAGCCTAGTGCTGTTGCAATTCACCCATCTTCCACGTGGGGCAGACATTCTGAGACATTTTAGGTGTAGTACCCTTTTTAAATGGCTGACTTTGTCCCAAATGGCACCCTATTCCCTACATAGTGCACTACTTTAGACCAGAGCCTTATGGTAGCGCACTATATAGGGAATAGGGTGCCATTTGGGATGCACCGTTGTGATTTAAGCGGCTATGTATTGTGTTAGCAGTGTTTTCCCTGTGTGTGTGTGTGTGTGTGTCATTCATATTGTGAATGGCTCATAATTACATAGTAACACATGAGAGAGTACCGCGCCCTTCCTGGGAGAGGAGAAGAGGGCCACTGGGGGGCCACTGTGAGTGTTTTCCTTTCGGCAGCAGCTCCGTAGCAAACATACCGCCAGCAGCACATAGTCGCTCAAAGTTTGTGGCTTGAGGCCTGTGATGGTTGATCTTCATCTGGCTGGCGGTGTGTGTGTTAACCTACAGGATGGCACCAGTCTTAAACAACTGTTGTCTTCTGCCTCGATCGTGGCTGAGATACTGACAATGCTTTATGTTACCATGTATCGTGGCTGAGATACTGAGAATGCTTTATGTTACCATGTATTGTTGTCCTTAGCTAAATGAATGGTCCGTTTTGAAATTATTCACAAGCACTGAACCCCCCTTTACGGCATTTTATTTTTTATTTATTTATTTAACCTTTATTTAACCAGATAAGCCAGTTGAGAACAAGTTCTCATTTACAACTGCGACCTGGCCAAGATAAAGCAAAGCAGTGCGATAAAAACAACAACACAGAGTTAGCATATCTCTCTCTGTCTCTCTCCCCCTCTCTCTCTCTCTCTCCCCCCCTCTCTCTCCCCCTCTCTCCTGTGTGTGTGTGTGTGTGTGTGTGTGTGTGTGTGTGTGTGTGTGTGTGTGTGTGTGTGTGTGTGTGTTGGAGGAGCTACTCTTGATGAAAGGAAAGGGAGTGCTAGCTAGATGGATCGTCCTGGCACGAAGGAGAAGAGAGGAGACGTTTCCTTGCCAAGTAAAAGCTAGATTGTGTAATAATATTAAAAGTCAGACAGCTGCTGGGATGGGCTCCTTTCAATGGAACACAACTTAGTAGAGATGGAATTTAATGTAGCATTGTTCTAGCGCACCGAACACTGCCCCGGGACCTTTTCACAATCTTCACAGGGCTTTGTCCCCCTTCAGAACAGGGCTTTGTCCCCCTTCAGAACAGGGCTTTGTCCCCCTTCAGAACAGGACTTTGTCCCCCTTCAGAACAGGGCTTTGTCCCCCTTCAGAACAGGGCTTTGTCCCCCTTCAGAACAGGGCTTTGTCCCCCTTCAGAACAGGACTTTGTCCCCCTTCAGAACAGGACTTTGTCCCCCTTCAGAACAGGACTTTGTCCCCCTTCAGAACAGGGCTTTGTCCCCCTTCAGAACAGGGCTTTGTCCCCCTTCAGAACAGGACTTTGTCCCCCTTCAGAACAGGACTTTGTCCCCCTTCAGAACAGGACTTTGTCCCCCTTCAGAACAGGACTTTGTCCCCCTTCAGAACAGGACTTTGTCCCCCTTCAGAACAGGACTTTGTCCCCCTTCAGAACAGGGCTTTGTCCCCCTTCAGAACAGGGCTTTGTCCCCCTTCAGAACAGGACTTTGTCCCCCTTCAGAACAGGGCTTTGTCCCCCTTCAGAACAGGGCTTTGTCCCCCTTCAGAACAGGACTTTGTCCCCCTTCAGAACAGGACTTTGTCCCCCTTCAGAACAGGACTTTGTCCCCCTTCAGAACAGGACTTTGTCCCCCTTCAGAACAGGACTTTGTCCCCCTTCAGAACAGGGCTTTGTCCCCCTTCAGAACAGGACTTTGTCCCCCTTCAGAACAGGGCTTTGTCCCCCTTCAGAACAGGACTTTGTCCCCCTTCAGAACAGGGCTTTGTCCCCCTTCAGAACAGGACTTTGTCCCCCTTCAGAACAGGACTTTGTCCCCCTTCAGAACAGGACTTTGTCCCCCTTCAGAACAGGGCTTTGTCCCCCTTCAGAACAGGGCTTTGTCCCCCTTCAGAACAGGACTTTGTCCCCCTTCAGAACAGGACTTTGTCCCCCTTCAGAACAGGACTTTGTCCCCCTTCAGAACAGGACTTTGTCCCCCTTCAGAACAGGGCTTTGTCCCCCTTCAGAACAGGACTTTGTCCCCCTTCAGAACAGGGCTTTGTCCCCCTTCAGAACAGGACTTTGTCCCCCTTCAGAACAGGGCTTTGTCCCCCTTCAGAACAGGACTTTGTCCCCCTTCAGAACAGGACTTTGTCCCCCTTCAGAACAGGACTTTGTCCCCCTTCAGAACAGGGCTTTGTCCCCCTTCAGAACAGGACTTTGTCCCCCTTCAGAACAGGACTTTGTCCCCCTTCAGAACAGGACTTTGTCCCCCTTCAGAACAGGACTTTGTCCCCCTTCAGAACAGGACTTTGTCCCCCTTCAGAACAGGACTTTGTCCCCCTTCAGAACAGGACTTTGTCCCCCTTCAGAACAGGGACTTTGTCCCCCTTCAGAACAGGACTTTGTCCCCCTTCAGAACAGGACTTTGTCCCCCTTCAGAACAGGACTTTGTCCCCCTTCAGAACAGGACTTTGTCCCCCTTCAGAACAGGACTTTGTCCCCCTTCAGAACAGGACTTTGCCCCCCTTCAGAACAGGACTTTGTCCCCCTTCAGAACAGGACTTTGTCCCCCTTCAGAACAGGGCTTTGTCCCCCTTCAGAACAGGACTTTGTCCCCCTTCAGAACAGGACTTTGTCCCCCTTCAGAACAGGGCTTTGTCCCCCTTCAGAACAGGGCTTTGTCCCCCTTCAGAACAGGACTTTGTCCCCCTTCAGAACAGGGCTTTGTCCCCCTTCAGAACAGGGCTTTGTCCCCCTTCAGAACAGAAGTGAACCTGACAGGCAACGTTTTCCATCATGTTCTCTTCACTGGAGCGATTAAACACTGGGGTGCGTCCCAAATGGTACCCTATTCCCTATATTATAGTGCACTACTTTTGACCAGGGCCCATGGGCTAAAGTAGTGCACTATATAGGGAATAGGGGGCCATTTGGGACGTAATATGAATGCTTACAAAGCAGCAGCAGGAATCTGAGAAGTATGGTTATGTCTGGAAGAATCAACTGACTGTTTTCTTTGATGGCCTTTCTACCTTCTTACAGTGCCAGTTAGGCAGATGACCACTAACTGACCCTTTGGGCAGATGACCACTGACTGACCCTTTGGGCAGATGACCACTGACTGACCCTTTGGGCAGATGACCACTGACTGACCCTTTGGGCAGATGACCACTGACTGACCCTTTGGGCAGATGACCACTGACTGACCCTTTGGGCAGATGACCACTGACTCACCCTTTGGGCAGATGACCACTGACTGACCCTTTGGGCAGATGACCACTGACTGGCCCTTTGGGCAGATGACCACTGACTGACCCTTTGGGCAGATGACCACTAACTGGCCCTTTGGGAAGATGACCACTGACTGACCCCTTCTGTGTTTGGGAATGATTCAACCTCTGACTGTCCCATTAGTCAGGTAGCACCATAGCGTTGTGGATGACAAGTCTTTCAGTGAGGAAACGTCCATTCCTGCGGTCAGTGACACTGCTTAGTGTCAGCCAGGTAGTGGTGGTTACTGTGGTAACCACCTCTGACCTCATTTCTACAGTAAGAGCCAGGAAGACTCATCGAATATTCATGACGAAACACACGATGAGTGTCATTGAGTCCTTGTTGGATTGAGACCGAGACATACAGTGCTATGAGGAACCTCTGCCTACCTTGGCCATCAGATTGCAACACTGTGTCGTGTCCCCGTGTCTTGAAGATGAAATCCAGGTCCAGAGTTAAAGGAGGAAGGCCAATTAAATTGTCCCTGGAGGGAGGGGGTCCATTTTATTGCACCACTCCTCAGAAGTGGCTGGCTACTGCCCCGGAGCCCAACTACTAAGAGACATTAGCTAGGTGTGTCCCATCTAACAACAATCAAACACACACACACACACACACACACACACAGAGAGCTTTACATTAACATTTTTAATGGGTAGCAATTATAAAAAAGCTATAATGTTGATACAGAAATCTGTTTCAGTCATTTGTGGAATATGTTTCTACATTGTTTAAAAGCACTACCTCTTGAGATGCATTACATTAAATTCTACACTGTCTCTTTAAGAGTGTCCCGTTTGAGTGACAACATGTAAGAGATGAGTCATTCACTGCTGTGATCATTGATCTCCTGAAGAAGAGATCCCTTTTCATTTCTGTCTGTGTGTCCCCAGATGTTTAGATGTACTGGTAATGTTACCATGGCTACATTCAGTAGACTACTGGTGAAGTAACCAGGTTGTTATTTAGCCGAGGTAACATGACTGAACAAGGTGTAAACAAATGCCCGCAAGTGGTTTTGGAACGACCCACGAAATGGTTTATGAACAGGGCCTTAAAACAATTATTTATAGAAAAACAACAAAATTGCATATTCTAATTGGATGTTCTAATTTCAATTGCGCACCTCAAGAGACTGGTTTCGGCATTGCTAACTGTTTCGGCATGCTAACTGTTTCGGCATCGCTAACTGTTTCGGCATCGCTAACTGTTTTCGGCATCGCTAACTGTTTTCGGCATCGCTAACTGTTTCGGCATCGCTAACTGTTTCGGCATCGCTAACTGTTTCGGCATCGCTAACTGTTTCGGCATCGCTAACTGTTTTCGGCATCGCTAACTGTTTTCGGCATCGCTAACTGTTTTTGGCATCGCTAACTGCCTTTACGTCTTCAGAAAATCACTGATGCATTCTTTCATATTCTTTACATGTTGGCTTTGGATTGAACGAATCGGCTCTCACCAAAATGGTCGCCCTGCCCACACACACACACATATATCACTGATGAAGAGCGTGTGTGTGTGTGTGCGTGTGGGTGGGTGTGCATGTTTCAGGCCATAATCACAGACCTGTCTTTAACCCTCTGTGCTACAGATTTTGTTTTGAAGGCTAGAATGTGTTGATTTATCTGTGGTCCTAAAGGTCAGTGGCTCCAGATGCTCCATTTCCAGAGGATTCATCCATCTACTTTGTTGGTCTTAGCTTTGACTGTCCTGGGCCTGACATTTAAAATGTGACCTTTTTTAAAAAAAATTGGTTAGTCTAGGAATCTAACCCTTTGAACTCTCTTGTCTCTCTGCAGTACTGCATTTTGTACACTTTTTGGTAAAGTTCATGTTCATGTTAAATTATCTTGATGACAAGCGGCTCCTGATGAGGTTTCTATTTTGTGTTGAACTTTGAAGGCAAAGACAAATGTCCACGTTGTGTGGACTGTTTCATTTGATTCATTTACTGTACAGGTCACGAGTAGAGAGATAGAACAGAGAGAGAGAAGAGAGCGAGCGAGAAGAGACGAGAGACGTAGAGAGAAGAGAGAAGACGAGCGAGAAAAGGAAAGAGGAGAGGAGAAGAAAGAGACAAGAGAGCGAGAGAACGCGAAACAACGAGCGAAAGAGAGAGAGAGAGAGAGCAGAAGGAGAGAGAGCAGAGAAGAGGGACAGAGAGAGAAAAGAGAGGAAAGAGAGAGTAGAGACAGAGAGAGCTAGAGAGAGAAAGAGGAGGCAAGAGAGCGAGAGAGGAGAGAGAGCAAGAGAGAGGAGAGGAGAGGAAGAGAGCGGCGAGAGGCGTGAGAGAGAGAGAGGCAGAGAGAGGAGACAAGAGCGCAGGACAGGAGAACGAGAGAGAGGAGAGCAGAGCGAGCGAAGAGAGGAGAGCGAGCGGCGAGCGCGAGAGAGAGACTCTAGAGAGAGAGCGGACGAGAGAGCGCGGGAGAGGCAAGAGAGAGAGGAGCGAGAGCGGAGCGCGCGCGAGGAGAGAGAGAGAGATCGAGGAGAGAGTATGCGAGAGCGAAGCGACGAGAAGGGACAGAGAGGAGAGCGAACGAGAGAAGAGCGAGAGAAGACCGGGCGCACTGGGGCGCTGAAATCCGAATTAGAGTCAGACGAGACTCGAGAAGCTCATACGCTCGCATGTAGCAGTCACTAGAGGAGACGCTAGAGAGTCGCGCGCTGACGATCTCACGGCACCGCAGCTCAAGGAGAGAGGAGGAGTCTCCTCTCGTCTCTTCCTCTCTCTCCTCTCTATCCTCTTCTCCTCTCTATCTCTCTCTCTCTCTCTCTATCTCTCTCTCTCTCCTCTCTCTCTCTCTCTCTCTCTCTCTCTCTCTCTCTCTCTCTCTCTCTCTCTCTCTCTCTCTCTCTCTCTCTCTCCAGTACTCTACAGAGCTGAAGAAGCTGTACTGTCAGATCGCCAAGACGTGTCCCATCCAGATCAAGGTGCTGACCAACCCCCCGCAGGGCGCTGTTATCAGAGCCATGCCCGTTTACAAGAAGGCAGAGCACGTCACCGAGGTGGTCAAACGCTGCCCCAACCACGAGCTCAGCCGCGAGTTCAACGACGGTTAGTTAGTTATATGTCTCTCAGACACTCCTAAAGCACTGTTGATAACATAATATGTTTTTATAAACTGTAAAAAACTGAACATCTTATTTTGGACATTAAGCCCACGTATAGGTGTTGAGTCACATATGAACATGCAACATATTTTGCTGTTTGAGTTCAACGACCGCTAGTTAACTTATCGCTCTCAGGAAATGCTCCTTGCAGTGAGCATTTAGTTACCAATGTTTTGGATCACTATTATTATTATCATTATTAACTAACCTTTACTCCTCAGATGCTTCCTGTACCATGACATTATTAACTAACCTTTACTCCTCAGATGCTTCCTGTACCGTGACATTATTAACTAACCTTTACCTCTCAGATGCTTCCTGTACCATGACATTATTAACTAACCGTTACTCCTCAGATGCTTCCTGTACCGTGACATTATTAACTAACCTTTACTCCTCAGATGCTTCCTGTACCATGACATTATTAACTCAAATACCTTTGATGAACCATTGATCTCTAATTGATCTTCTCTGATATGAACATGCAACATATTTTGCTATTTGATAAGCTTATGGTATGTTGTGTTTGTAGGTCAGATAGCCCCTCCCAGTCACCTGATCCGAGTGGAGGGTAACAGCCACTCCCAGTATCTGGAGGACTCCATCACGGGCCGTCAGAGTGTGCTGGTCCCCTACGAGCCCCCCCAGGTAGGCTACAGTTCTCGCCTGTCTGCCCTCCTTACAAGCCCCCCCCCCCCCAGGCAGTGTAGAGTAAGACCTGTTACCACCAAGCCCCCCCCCAGGCAGTGTAGAGTAAGACCTGTTACCACCAAGCCCCCCCCCAGGCAGTGTAGAGTAAGCCCTGTCACCACCAAGCCCCCCCCCAGGCAGTGTAGAGTAAGCCCTGTCACCACCAAGCCCCCCCCCCAGGCAGTGTAGAGTAAGCCCTGTCACCACCAAGCCCCCCCCAGGCAGTGTAGAGTAAGCCCTGTCACCACCAAGCCCCCCCCCCAGGCAGTTGTAGAGTAAGCCCTTGTCACCACCAAGCCCCCCCCCAGGCAGTGTAGAGTAAGCCCTGTTACCACCAAGCCCCCCCAGGCAGTGTAGAGTAAGCCCTGTCACCACCAAGCCCCCCCCCAGGCAGTGTAGAGTAAGCCCTGTCACCACCAAGCCCCCCACCCCCTGGCGACAGACAGTCTCCAACCCCTGTCCACCTGCCTGTCCACCTTGTCTCTCCCCTGTCCCCTCTGTCATCACGGTGTCACAACCACCACTCTATCTATCCGTCTGCAACACCCTACGTGTCTCAGACGGGGTCACCGCAGCCCCTGAACTTCTGTAAACCTGGCCGAGACACGTACTGGCCCTCTCATAGCCCCCATACCCCCCTCATCCAATCAGTCATTGACTGTCAGCCCAGCAGCTGGTGTCCTCAATATCCCCTGACCCCTACTGGACCCCATAATGTGTCCTCCATCAGTCCTGGCTCTGGACTGAACATTTTAGTCGTTTAGCAGACGCTCTTATCCAGAGCGACTTACAGTGCAGTTAGTGCATACATTTTTCATACTGGCCCCCCTCGTGGGAATCGAAACCCACAACCCTGGCGTTGCAAGCGCCACGCTCTACCAACTGAGCTACAGGAGGGGACACTCAGCACACTACCACCACTGTCATATTTAAAAGGCAGTGTTTATGTCCAGATGGTCAGATGTGTAGTAACTGTGTTTTTATAACCACTGACCATTTCCCTCAGTCATTCATTTATTTCTGTTTATGTCCAGATGTATTGAGGTTGAGGTTTTAATTCACTAACCTGCTGCTCTCTTCTCTTCCAGGTGGGCACAGAGTTCACCACAATCCTGTATAACTTCATGTGTAACTCCAGCTGTGTGGGAGGCATGAACCGACGCCCCATCCTCATCATCGTCACCCTGGAAACCAGAGAGTAAGACATTAGTGTTGTCAGTGGTTACTAGGGATGCACAATTTCTGGGAAACTTTCCCCAGTTGGAGGATTCCCGGAATCAGGAGTGGGAATCTTCCAAACGGGATTCATGACAAACAAAGGAACTCTGGGGAAATGTCCGTATTGGGTATCCCACCTCCTCATAGATGGTAAATAAGTGTTACTGACCTGTCTGTCTGTCTGTCTGTCTCTCTCCTGCCTCCTAGTGGTCAGGTGTTGGGTCGGCGGTGCTTCGAGGCCAGGATCTGTGCGTGCCCTGGCCGGGACCGTAAGGCGGACGAGGACAGCATCCGCAAGCAGCATGTTACTGATGGAACAAAGACCAGTGAGGGTATGAAACGCCGTAAGTAGTGCTGGGAGCTGGTGGAGGACTGACTGACTGCCTCTGATTATACCACACTCTATCTGTCTCTCACACTGCATGCTGCCAGCCCCCGTGCTGCCTCCTCCTGCTCTGTGCTGCCTCCTCCTGCTCTGTGCTGCGTCCTCCTGCTCTGTGCTGCGTCCTCCTGCTCTGTACTGTGCTGTGTCCTCCTGCTCTGTGCTGCGTCCTCCTGCTCTGTGCCGCCTCCTCCTGCTCTGTACTGTGCTGCCTCCTCCTGCTCTGTGCTGCCTCCTCCTGCTCTGTGCTGCGTCCTCCTGCTCTGTGCTGCGTCCTCCTGCTCTGTGCTCGTTTTCCATCCTATGCTTGCTGAGGTTAATACATAGGATAAAGTTACCATCATCCCAGGTGTACCAGCCCAGGTACTTACCAGGCTTCTGTCCCCCTCCCCAGCCTTCCGCCAGGCCTCCCATGGGATCCAGATGTCCTCCATCAAGAAGAGAAGATCCACAGATGAGGAAGTGTTCTGTCTGCCTGTAAGTGTCTGCAGTCTGACCACATTCCTCTCCTCCTTCTGCTGGGATTTCCCCAGGGAATTAAAATGACCCCATGATGATCCATACAGTATTGACTGACCATGTGAAGTTCTGATACTGTCTGTCCTATAGAAATAGAATTGGAACCCAGATGAACATATGACAGTCTCGTTGGGTACAGGAGGAAGAAAACATTTATATGGAGAGCATTTCAAAATAAGAGCCTGAACTTCAGAACAAAAGTCCTCTGTCCATACTGGCAAAACCAACCCTGTTATATATACTATGTATACAAAAGTATCTGGACACCACCTCAAATTAGTGGATTCGGCTATTTCAGCCACACCCGTTGCTGACAGGTGTATAAAATCGAGCACACAGCCATGCAATCTCCATGGACAAACATTGGCAGTAGAATGGCCTTACTGAAGAGCTCAGTGAGTCAGTTCGTCAAATTTCTACCCTGCTAGAGCTGCCCCGGTCAACTGTAAGTGCTGTTGTGAGGTGGAAACGTCTAGGAGCAACAACGGCTCATCCGTGAAGTGGTAGGCCACACAATCTCACAGAACGGGACCGCCGAGTGCTGAAGCGCGTAAAAATCGTATGTCCTCGGTTGCAACACTCACTACCGAGTTCCAGACTGCCTCTAGAAGCAACGTCAGCACAATAACTGTTTGTCGGGAGCTTAATGAAATGGGTTTCCATGGCCGAGCAGCCACACACAAGCCTAAGATCACCATGCGCAATGCCAAGCGTTGGCTGGAGTGGTGTAAAGCTCACCACCATTGGACTCTGGAGCAGTGGAAACGCGTTCTCTGGAGTGATGAATCACGCTTCACCATCTGGCAGTCCGACGGACGATTCTGGGTTTGGCGGATGCCAGGAGAACGCTACCTGCCCCAATGCATAGTGCCAACTGTAAAGATTGGTAGAGGAGGACTAATGGTCTGGGACTGTTTTTCATGGTTCAGGCTCCTTAGTTCCAGTGAAGGGAAATCTTAACGCTACAGCATACAATGACATTCTAGATGATTCTGTGCTTCCAACTTTGTGGCAACAGTTTGTTGAAGGCCCTTTCCTGTTTCAGCATGACAATGCCCCCGTGCACAAAGTAAGGTCCATACAGAAATGGTTTGTCGAGATCGGTGTGGAAGAACTTGACTGGCCTGCACAGAGCCCAGACCTCAACCCCATCAAACACCTTTGGGATGAATTGGAACGCCGACTACGAGCCAGGCCTAATCGCCCAACATCAGTGCCCGACCTCACTAATGCTCTTGTGGCTGAATGGAAGCAAATCCCCGCAGCAATGTTCCAACATCTAGCGTTAAGCCTTCCCAGAAGATTGGAGGCTGTTATAGCAGCAAAGGGGGGGACCAACTTCATATTAATGCCCAGGATTTTGGAATGAGATGTTCGACGAGCAGGTGTCCACATACTTTTGGTCATGTAAAGAATGCTTTCTATAAAACAATATTATATACGTCTCTGTGTGCATTATATTAATATTGTGGAATGTCCCAGCTGCTAACCAACTCCTCTCTCTCTCTCTCTGCCCCTGTAGATTAAAGGCCGTGAAATCTATGAGATTCTGGTGAAAATCAAAGAGTCTCTGGAACTCATGCAGTTTCTGCCTCAGCACACCGTGGAGTCGTACAGGCAGCAGCAGCAGAACATCCTGCAGAAACAGTGAGTATTCCTCCCTGTCAGACAAGATCTATTAGATAAAGGAGAACTATATAAAGGTTCAGTAAAAAACTAGAACCAGTAGCTGAAACCACTGAGCTAGGCTTACAAACACTAAGCTGGTAACGAGGTCCTCCTCAGCTTCACTTCATGGTCTGGTTCCTTGTTTTGTCTCATAACTGCATGCTTCACGGTTGACATTTTAACTTGTTTGCCTATTAATTAAAGAAAGACTGTGTACTGTGTACTGCAGCATGCGAAGTAAGCTTATTTAAGGGAAAGTCCTAAGTTGTGAAATGATAGTTTTACTTTTTTGTTTTGGATTCAACACCTGATTGAGCATGATAGCTTGTTTGGTGGAATTTTGCCTGTTAAGATTTAGGGTTGTGTAACATTGGTTCTGATTACTACAGTAATGATGTTTGAGCTGAGTGAATACACCAGCATGATGACTATTTGGATAAGGATGAAGACAGTGGCTGTTTTGACAGATGAAAATTGTTGCTTTTTGGTTACTCACTCACTACATTTTATCAGAAGTTGCATAATGCATTTGCTTCTCAGAGGGTTGTGTGATGTAGAGCTGAGTTTAGAATATTATGGGATGTTACCTAAGGCTGGGCAGCAGGACCTACGCTCGGCCAGATGAAGCCTCCGTAGACTAATGGAAACGCCTTTAGGTGCTCTGCCAGGTTTGCACAACAACAACAGCCGTTTCCAAATCCATTATCCAGTCAGTCCCAGTAATTGGCTTGAGTGTATTCATACTCTGTCATACACAAACACACATGCTGCACTCCCTTGCCCTCAGTGAGGGGCGGCCTGGGAGCAGAAATCGGCCCTGGCATTTCTAACACGTTGACAAAAAATTTCCTGAAGGCCTCTACACCGGCCCCATTTATTAGCCAGATAATGATCGTTTTGCGCTAAAAAAAACAAGTTAGACCAGCCCACTGGGCTAAATATGGACCAGCCCATTTCGGGCAAATGCCAGATGGCCGGTCCGCCCCTGCCCTTAGTCCTCGCCCATTCAGTTAAAGGGCTGGGGAGAAAAAGGCGGTTATCTGTAAATTATAGTTTTAAATAGTGTGCTGCTTTCTTTGACGCCCTATGATAATTACTGCTTATGTTATCGTTTCTCATTTAGTAAACTGCCAGACTCTCTGACATAATGCTTGAAAAAATACTGGTTTGAAAAGCCAGTTTTAGGCGTAGCCTATTTTAGGTTTACTGGTAGTTTGGGTTCTGTCGTCCTGCCCTCTGGCGCCCCCATCCACAGTCTGGCTGGATGTGGCAGTGCAGCAGGTAAGGGCAGGGCCCAGTGGTTTTAAATGCTGCAACGCTGTCACCGGTTAGTTTCATAAGAACAGAACAGTATTTAGCCTACACTATACTTTACCCTATTTATGTTTTGGTGATATTTTCAATATCCTCAAACTCAAAACACTCAACAGCTGTACTGGACTGAAAATCTGCTCAAGTCGTTTGGCTCCTGAGTGGCGCAGTGGTCTAAGGCACTGCATCGCAGTGCTAACTGTGCCACTAGAGATCCTGGTTCGAATCCAGGCTCTGTCGCAGCCGGCCGCGACCAGGAGACTCATGGGCGGCGCACAATTGGCCCAGCGTCGTCCAGGGTAGGGGAGGGAATGGCCGGCAGGGATGTAGCTCAGTTGATAGAGCATGGCGTTTGCAACGCCAGGGTTGCGGGTTCGATTCCCACGGGGGGCCAGTATAAAAAAATATGTATTCACTAACTGTAAGTCGCTCTGGATAAGAGCGTCTGCTAAATGACTAAAATGTAAATGTAAATGTAAAATGTTACATAGTTGACTGGACTGTTCTAGATTGTTCTCTAATCAGGTCCCCATGCCTCTTCTCTACATACTGCTCTGTATTCTGATGCTTTACTCTCATCTCCATGACCTTTCACCTGGATTATTCCTAACCCCAGTGGTGTTCTTCACAGCATTATCAATTAATATTAAATATTTTTATTTTGTTGTTTATTTTTTACTCTGTGGAAGGTCAAGTCAAGAGTCTCCCGATGTGATACTATTGCTGTCTAATAGTGCCCTCTTCTGGGGGATAATGTTACCACACACTACACTGAAATGGCCATCATTCATTTTCTTCTTAAATACTGTGTTTCCAAATGGCTCTGTTTCTCTACTTTGTAAACTCTCTCCTCTCAACTTTTGACTTTCTACTGGTTTCTTTGTCTGTTTCCTGTTTCCTACTCTCCTAAAGTGAGTCCTTATTTTCCTCTCTCTCTCTCTCTCTCTCTCTCTCTCTCTCTCTCTCTCTCTCTCTCTCTCTCTGGTTCCAGTCTGCTTAAAGCCCGGCTACGTTCAGAGCTCCTGGAGCCCTTAGCAGCAGAGCAGAGGAGATGATGCAGTACCTCCTGAGACTCCCCTCATCCTCACATTCCTCCTTCCTTCAGCCTCCTCCTTCCTCCTCCCTTCAGTTTCCTCACCCCTCAAACCTCAGCCACAATCAGACTAGGGGCTCCTCTTTCACCTCTCCTCTCTCCTCCCTCTTTCAGGGTGCTTTCTAATTATCTCTCTCCTCTCTCTCGCTCTCTCTATTTCTCCCTCTCTCTCTCTTTCGCTCCCTCTCTCCCGCTCTGCTCTGTCTCTGGGTTCCTGCTCTGAGGTTGTGTCTCTGTTGAAACTCTCACATTCTCCAAACAGAGTTAAATAAACAGATAAACAGTCTGTTGGTGCTTCATGTTCATGAAATAAAACATTTTTTTCTATTCATTACTTATGTAACACAAATAATTTGCTACAACTTTAGTCTGTCTGGCAAGTACTCTGCATACCAGTCTACTGATAAGGTGCTGTCACATTCTAAAGTGATAAATTAAGATGTTTTTGCATGCCAGATTTTTTAAAGAAACTTTGTAGCTAATATGTGGTAACACCAGTCTCAAACAGCAGACTGCGCTAGAGTTATTCAATTCATTTGATCAGTTTGTTTCATTAAACATTTTACATTGGGAGTCATTTAGCAGACGCTCTTATCCAGTGCGTACTTTTTTCGTACTGGTCCTCCGTGGGAATCGAACCCACAACCCTGGCGTTGCAAGCGCCATGCTCTACCAGCTGAGCCCCACGGGGCCCTGTGGTCAGAGATGAGGTCATACGGCTCATCAAGGACATCATGTTTAAAAGCCCCATTCATGTCTTTGTTACTTTTTAGGTTTATGTGTTGCTTATGGTAAAAATGAAGTTAGTAATTGAGTTACGGACAGGGACACAGTCTACTTGTATTGCAGTCAGAACACATTGCACATGCATAGTAGCCGCCTCTCGGCTGACCTCTCCTCCTATTGGCTGGGGCTTGTCAGGAACCAAGCACTAGTGTTTTTCTACAAGACTTATCTTGTCTTTGAGTTCTCTTAAGCTTTCACTTTATTTAGCTTTTTGTTTTCTCATTGGAGCTGGACTCAAACCTAAAGGTGCGTTCCAAATGGTACCCTATTGTCTACCAGAGCCCTATGGGTCCAGAGCCCTATCTATGGGTCCAGAGCCCTATCTATGGGTCCAGAGCCCTATCTATGGGTCCAGAGCCCTATCTATGGGTCCAGAGCCCTATCTATGGGTCCAGAGCCATATCTATGGGTCCAGAGCCATATCTATGGGTCCAGAGCCCTATCTATGGGTCCAGAGCCCTATCTATGGGTCCAGATCCCTATCTATGGGTCCAGATCCCTATCTATGGGTCCAGATCCCTATCTATGGGTCCAGAGCCCTATCTATGGGTCTTGGTCAAAAGTAGTGCATAAAGAAGAAATAGGGTGCTATTTGGGACGTGGACTTTGTAATCTAATGGGGAGAGATTTTATTATGAAGATAACTTTGATAATGCTGGTCATGTTGTATAAAGTCACTGCTGGACAGTTTGTTTGTTTTTGACCCATTTGATCTTTGAATTTTCTGAAAGATATTTAGCATTTATTTAGGATTGACAGATACATGACAAACATATTGCTTTATGTACAGAGAGCAGACTCTATGGATAACTTGCTTTATGTACAGAGAGCAGACTCTATGGATAACTTGCTTTATGGACAGAGAGCAGATTCTACGGAGAACTTGCTTTTGTGACCGTTGTTTGAAACAGATTGTTGTGATACATGGCTGTTGCACTTTGGTCTGTCAGAACTCAATAAATGTATTTTCTGCTTTGACTTTCCTTCTCCATTTTCCCTTTTTTCCTCTCCATCTGCAAAACAAGGAACCTCAGCTAAAGCCCATTATCCTACTAAGGGCTCTATTCAATCAGATCAGCTTTATCCGACATCTGCATAGCGGTTGTTTTGGCGGTGGCGGTACTGCGTTAGAGCTGTCCAATCCACAAGCGGTTCCTGGCGTTACACCTAAAGCGGACATTGCCATTTTAGTCTTTTTTTTTTTTTTAGCAGACGCTCTTATCCAGAGCGATTTACAGGAGCAATTAGGGTTAAGTGCCTTGCTCAAGGGCACATCGACAGATTTTTCACCTAGTCGGCTCAGGGATTAGAACCAGCGACCTTTCGGTTACTGGCACAACGCTCTTAACCACTAAGCTACGTGCCGCCCCATTGGCTGCACTGAGTTGCATTAACAGAAATCCCATGCAGACCTGTTTATAAGTTGGAACACAGGAATGTGTGATGTAATCTACACCTTGATTAGGCTGATAGAAATCCTAATTTCATTGAATTATTTATATTCTATTTGAGTGTCATCATTTCTATATAGCCTAGACTTTCTTGTTCTGACCTTCTAAGGAGAGTGGGGCAGGTGTGGCTTCGTGACAATCGCAAGAGCGGCTGCTCACCGATTTGACAGCTCCAACGCCAAAACATCTGCTATCGACAGTTAACGCTTGATCTGATTTGAATCTACGCCCAAATCTACACTCATAGACAACACATACTGTTAGATGAAACATACACTTTATAGTCATAGAGATATGCTTTGAGTTTCTGTGGCATGCTTGAATTTAATCATTTCCGATAATGTTGAAAACACATTGGCGTGTAAGAGATTAATTTGAAAGATTAATGTTTGAGAATAACGTTAGCTACACAATCTGTCAAAATGATTACCTAACCCAGTCAATGTTAACTATACTGAACAGTAAAACTGATTACCTTACCCAGTCAATGTTAACTATACTGAACAGTAAAACTGATTACCTTACCCAGTCAATGTTAACTATACTGAACAGTAAAACTGATTACCTTACCCAGTCAATGTTAACTATACTGAACAGTAAAACTGATTACCTTACCCAGTCAATGTTAACTGCTAAATGGTATATTATTATTATATATTGTTAACTATACTGAACAGTAAAACTGATTACCTTACCCAGTCAATGTTAACTATACTGAACAGTAAAACTGATTACCTTACCCAGTCAATGTTAACTATACTGAACAGTAAAACTGATTACCTTACCCAGTCAATGTTAACTGCTAAATGGTATATTATTATTATATATTGTTAACTATACTGAACAGTAAAACTGATTACCTTACCCAGTCAATGTTAACTATACTGAACAGTAAAACTGATTACCTTACCCAGTCAATGTTAACTATACTGAACAGTAAAACTGATTACCTTACCCAGTCAATGTTAACTGCTAAATGGTATATTATTATTATATATTGTTAACTATACTGAACAGTAAAACTGATTACCTTACCCAGTCAATGTTAACTGCTAAATGGTATATTATTATTATATATTATTAACTATACTGAACAGTAAAACTGATTACCTTACCCAGTCAATGTTAACTGCTAAATGGTATATTATATTATATATTATTAACTATACTGAACAGTAAAACTGATTACCTTACCCAGTCAATGTTAACTGCTAAATGGTATATTATTATTATATATTGTTAACTATACTGAACAGTAAAACTGATTACCTTACCCAGTCAATGTTAACTGCTAAATGGTATATTATTATTATATATTATTAACTATACTGAACAGTAAAACTGATTACCTAACCCAGTCAATGTTAACTGCTAAATGGTATATTATATATTATTAACTATACTGAACAGTAAAACTGAAATATTGTTCTTGTTGTTTACCACTGTATGTAACTAACAGCCAGGTTAACCCTTTGTCGTTAAAGATGGGATCTCTGGGGGGATGAGAGTAATGGGCTGTATCCTCCTCTCCCCTGCCCCAGGAGCTCCACGGCCCTTCAGCCGCCGTACGGCTCCAGCTCCCCTCCTCACCCCCACGGCAAGGTCAACAAGCTCCCCTCCGTCAGCCAGCTCATCAACCCCCAGCAACGCAACACGCTCACCCCTTCCTCCATGGCCCAAGGCCTGACTGACAGTAAGTGTGCCTTACCCCCTTTGTATAGTGAGAGATTCTGCCCCCCCCCCCCCGACTCTCTGTCTGTCTGGCCCCTGTCCTGTCTGGCCCCTGGCCTGTCTGGCCCCTGTCCTGTCTGGCCCCTGTCCTGTCTGGCCCCTGGCCTGTCTGGCCCCTGTCCTGTCTGGCCCCTGTCCTGTCTGGCCCCTGTCCTGGCTGGCCCCTGTCCTGTCTGGCCCCTGTCCTGTCTGGCCCCTGGCCTGTCTGGCCCCTGGTCTGTCTGGCCCCTGTCCTGTCTGGCCCCTGGCCTGTCTGGCCCCTGGCCTGTCTGGCCCCTGTCCTGTCTGGCCCCTGTCCTGTCTGGCCCCTGTCCTGTCTGGCCCCTGGCCTGTCTGGCCCCTGGCCTGTCTGGCCCCTGGTCTGTCTGGCCCCTGGCCTGTCTGGCCCCTGTCCTGTCTGGCCCCTGTCCTGTCTGGCCCCTGTCCTGTCTGGCCCCTGGCCTGTCTGGCCCCTGTCCTGTCTGGCCCCTGGCCTGTCTGGCCCCTGGCCTGTCTGGCCCCTGGTCTGTCTGGCCCCTGGCCTGTCTGGCCCCTGTCCTGTCTGGCCCCTGGCCTGTCTGGCCCCTGTCCTGTCTGGCCCCTGGCCTGTCCTCCTTCCTCCACCACCCCTGCTTGTTTTTTTCCCAGTCTTTCTGTGTCTGGGCCGTTGTCGTACCTCCACTGCCCGCCTCCGCCATCTCCAGTACCACGCCCCCTCTGGGCCGATCATGTGACACGCGTCAGGCAGGATAGCGGTACCTGTCTGGGAGGGGTGTGTAGGGGGCCACTGTACAACTCTCAGCCCCCCCTGTCAGAACGCTTCCTCCCATGGGTCAATGTGATCCCTGTTGAGACCCTGTTCCTCCCCTGCTCCTCCCCTCTGGGGCCTCTCTCCTTCCAATCACGTATTGTTGTTGAGATGCCCCGCTCCCACTATCTTCTGTTGATATTACACAATCTCAGAGAACGTTAAGAGTTCTTACATTTGTCCAGCCTCGTCCCTTCGCTTTATGGCAAATAGGTGGGCGGGCTGAAAAACGAATGACAGATTGTCGCTTTATAAGAGTACTGCTCACGGAAGCTTGTTTCTCTAGTGACGTTCACTGCACCTCATCTACATAATATCTGAACTATGGTATGGTGCTGGAGATAATACATTTGAAATTTTAAAAAACGGCAGATTGCCCCATTTTAAAAGTCGCTCACACTAGTCTGTTTGATTCTCTAGGGACTTCGATGATGGGCCACGTGGCAGTAGATTGCTTCCTTTATAGAGATAAAACTGATCTATCTCTGGTTTCTGTAGTGACTCCGATGATGGGCCACATGGCTATGAATGCTGACATGTCGGCCCTGAGCCCCGCACACGTCCTGCAGCCTCAGTTACCCATGGTGCCCAGCTCTCACTGCACCCCCCCGCCTCCCTACCCCATGGACAGCAGCATCTCCAGGTACCTAGCTAAACAACCGCCAGTGGAGGCTGGTGAAGGAAGGATGGCTCATAGTAATGGCCGTAATGGAATGACTTATGGTATCCATCTCTGTTTTGATACTGTTCCATTAATTCCATTCCAGCCATTACTATGAGCCCGTCCTCCGATTTTAGTGGCACCAGCCACCACTGATAACCACACATCTGTTGATGCTCTTGGACAGTTGTGGGCACTATAAAGTCAGGACAAGACGCGCAATATTGACAGAACTTTTGCAACACGGCTCTATAGCGTCTCCAATCGATAGTTTGTCACCAAAACCTGAACCACTCTACAAGGAGTGCCTGCATCTGACAAGACATCTCTCTACTGTTGGCCATTCTTGTCTAACACACTGTTATTACAAGAATGCTGAGGTGCTATTTTTATTTTCCCTACTGACCCTGTTCCCCCCTCTCCGTGTCCTGTTGCAGCTTTCTTCTGCGGCTGGGCTGCGCAGCCTGCCTGGACTACTTCACAGCACAGGGCCTGACCAACATCTACCAGATCGAGAACTATAACTTGGAGGTGAGGCCTTGCCTGTCACACGCACTGCATCTGTTAAACTCAGAGAGAAGGGTCGGGTGGCTTCAAGAGGCCTGAGCCTTTGTGTAAGCAAGAACAAATAAATGAAAAAATATTTATATCTGAAGTCGTCTTGTCTATTTCTGTATGCGGACCTGAACTGCTCTTCATTTTTTGGGCTGCCTGACTCAGCCTGAGAGCATTGTCTTCCGGGAGAGGGCGTCATTACATTTACATTATTTAGCAGACGCTCTTATCCAGAGCGACTTACAAATTGGTGCATTCACCTAATGATAGCTAGTGGGATAACCACTTTACAATAAAAGATATGTTTAGAGTATATTTTTAATTTTCATTTGTTTTATATTGATTTTTATTTTTTTATATTTTTTTATCCTATTGTCTTTTTTTGGGGGGGGGGGGGGGGGGGGTAGAAGTATTACTAACGTGTCAGCGTTGCCATGAACTATCAGTGCAGATGGAGTCGTCTATCTGATGTAAGACTATTGCCTTTTGGGCCGCCTGGGGCCCTGGCCTTTTGGGCCGCCTGGGGCCCTGTGCCTATCCTGAGAGAAAGAAGACTAAACAAGGCTAAAGAGACTAACCCCCAGTGTGTGATGTCATCCCCGTCCACAGGACCTGTCCCGGCTGAAGATCCCCCAGGAGTTTCAGCACATCATCTGGAAGGGCATCATGGAGCACCGGCAGAGCATGGAGTTCTCCCCTCCCCCCCACATCCTACGTACCTCCGGCGGGGCCTCCACCGTCAGCTTAGGGTCCTCCGAGGCCCGGAGCGAGCGGGTCATCGACGCTGTGCGCTTCACCCTGCGCCAGACCATCTCATTCCCACCGCGCGACGACTGGTCCGACTTCTCCTTCGACCTGGACTCCCGACGCAACAAGCAGCAGCGCATCAAGGAGGAGGGGGAATAGAGAAACTCTCACACCCTGGGAGGAATTTCAATCTAAGGCTGTTGACAAGCGCACTGCAACAATGGGCCTGTAAAAGGCAATTTCCCTGACGTTCAGAGATCGGCTATTACAGTAAACGCTGTGGATGTCGGCTCAAGCGCACATTACCATTAAAAGTCGAGTGCAGTACGCTTGTCGGCAATGGGCCTTGGATTGAAGCCCTGCCTCTGTCATACACCTGTTGACCAACCACTCCCGTATAATGGTACAGAACTAGGAAATCTCTGCTCTGGGTCCAGCTTCTCAAAAGCATCTTAAGGCTAAGTTCATTGTTAGAACCCTCGTAGGAGCAAAACCAAAACCATTGTTAAAGTTGTTTACTGACTGCCCCAGACCAGCTAAGTGCATCATTAGATGCATTTTTTTTTTATACACTCATAAGACTAAGTTACATCGCTATCGGGAAACCGGGCCCTGGTCCTTAGTTCAGATATCCTAAAGAGCAAAAATACTATGCAAATAAAAATGCACTTATTTCATTTTATTTTATTGAAAAGCCTTCCTTAGCTGCCAGCTAGAGGATGAGAGAAATTGTGTTTTAGAAAAGATACATTTCATGATTTTTGAGACAAAGCGCTTAAATGCTTTTGTGATTTCTTTGATATTGTTTTTTAATTGTTCATAATCCATTCCAATGTTAAAGCATGACTTGAGAGGAAACCTTTTGGGGATTTGTTGTTGGGCCATAGATGTATGGCCAGGATTCAATCCAAAGCGCGTTAGACAGATGAGACCTTCAAAATAAAGATAGAAAATTGTATTTATGTCGGTGCTTCTGTCTTGCTGTTGACTCATTTGGCAAACTTCTGTCAACTGCTACCATTTCATAGATGATAATAATAATAATATACGATTACAAATTCACAATAAATATCTCAAAATACAATAGGATATACACTCAGTGGACAGTTTATTATGTACACCCATATAGTACCGGGTCAGACCCCCTTTGTCTCCAGAACAGCCTGAATTCTTCGGGGAATGGATTCTACAAGGTGTGGCGTTCAAATGTTGCTCAATTGGTATCAAGAGACCTAACGTGTGCCAGGAAAGCATTCCCCACACCATTACACCACCACCACCACCACCAGCCTGTACCGTTGACACCAGGCAGGATGGGGCCATGGACTCTTGCTGCTTACGCCAGATCCTGACTGCCATCAGCATGACAAAACAGGAATCGGCATTCGTCGGACCAGGCAACTTTTTCCACTCCTCAATTGTCCAATGTTGGTGATCGCGTGCCCTGCTGCAATAGCCCATTCGTGACACAAGTACCAACGAGTTGTGCGTTCCGAGATGCCGTTCTGCACACCACTGTTGTACTGTGCCATTATTTGCCTGTTTGTGACCCGCCTGTTAGCTTGCACCATTCTTGCCATTCTCCTTTGACCTCTCTCATCAACGAGCTGTTTTCACCCACAGGACTGCTGCTGACTGGATGTTTTTTGTGTTTGTTGCACCATTCTCGGTAAACCCTAGACACTGTCATGCGTGAAAAGCCCAGGATGGCGGATGTTTCTGAGATACTGGAACCGGTGTGCCTGGCACCAATGATCACACCATGCTGTCACTTAGAATAGGCAAAACGAGTGACCTAACATTCAATGGAACAGTAACTGGATGCCTCGATGCCTGTCTGCCTGCTTTATATAGCAAGCCACAGCCACTTGACTCACTGTCTGAAGGCGCTAACCATTTTCGTGAACAGGGTAGTGTACCTAATAAACTGAACATAACACTTCAGCTCCACTATAAGCTTCCCCTTGCTTTGCCATGTCAATGTGACATTCTACCAGAGCACGTTGTTTTGAGAGCAGAGGGGAAAGAGTATTCTATTTTCCCCTACTGTACTATATTAATCGATTATGCGTAAGTACAATGGCTTTGGTCAAATTAAACATTACATTGTTGCTAGTGGTTGGACTAAATGATCCTCTATATACACACACGTTGCTTTTGTTTACATTGTGAACCAAGCTAGTCAATGTAGCTAGCTAGTAGTAATAGCTTCTTGACATCTTAAATCTTAGTAAAATAACCAGTGGTGTATAGTTGAGGCCATATGCAACCAAATGTAACTTTCTCATTTAAATTCACAAGATAGAATGAATGCGTGGGTCAGCCATCAAGAATTCAACCTCAGCGATTCTTGAGCTTGGACGCCGCCATTTCGACATGACGCGAAGTGAGCGCAACACATATATATATATATATATATATATATAGTAGCAGGGCGGTTACATATATATATATCTATCTATAGTAGCAGGGCGGTTACAATCCAGTAGTCGCCTGGTCTGGTTTCATTAGTTTCATGATCTAGATCGCCAGCTACCACGTCTCATTCATTCACAGCTGCTGCTCACCGGCCGTTGCTAAGGAAGCTAGTGTTGTTATGGGGCTACCAGCTAGCAGGCTACATTAGCTTGTAGGCTAGCGGACTTTTCATAAGTTTGTGAAAACACATTTTAGCGAACGTATGTGCGTACTCCGAAAACATTACTCAGTTGAATGTGTTGTTTTTCCACCCGCTTACCTTCAAAATAAAACATTATACAAATGTATTTTGTCGGTGTTGTTGAGACGCGCTTGGCGTATTTCTCAACTGCCACAGCGCGATCCCCTTTTAAAATAGGCGGCCTCTATATTGGTACTGCACCATACTGCAAAATACGTGGCCAAAAATGATCAATATTCATATTACACGTCGGCTCAAAAAGACAATTACCTTTAAAAGTCAGTGTAATGCGCTGCACTGTTCTATACCACGCCTTGGGTTGAATCCCGGTCTGCTATGATTGCCTGCTGGTCACAAGCCAGTCTTGATTGTATACATTTCAAGATACATATTTTTACTTCCTGTCGGAGAAAAGTGTTATTAATAATATGCTGTTTGTTGGTTGGATTGGTAGATTTTTACCAAGAACAACTAATTGCCTTCTACAGTGCCCGTGTTAACCCTCCTGCTTCCAGGATTTTTCAGAAACCTGGGAATGTTGCAACCCTTTGTTAGTTAAACCATTGTGTTTATAACTCTTGGAATGTTACTGGAATTGTTAGTTAAATTGTGTTTATAACTCTTGGGGAAATTACTGGGATTTTGCAACCCTAGTGTTGGTTAAACCATCATGTTTATGACTTGATGCATTCACATTAATGTAGAAATACACTATCACACAAAGCGTTTTATCGGAAGTATTTACGTTACTCATTACGGAACTGAATTGAACTCAACACGCTCATAGCCCTTGATGTTGTGAGGTGGTATCAATAACGTTAACGATTGTCATGGTTTATGTATGCAGATCTTATTGGACATGTCCAAAATAGCACCCTACAGTGCACTATGGTCAAAAATAGTGCACTGTATAGGGAATAGGGTGCCATTTGGGACAAATATATTGCCTGCTTGTTCTGCCACCTTTAAACACGTGTACAGTCTTTGTATTTTGTGAGTCTGTTGAACATTTACATTTTTTACATTTACATTTACATTTTAGTCATTTAGCAGACGCTCTTATCCAGAGCGACTTACAGTTAGTGCATTTTTTTTCTTCATACACCCTGTGGGAATCGAACCCTGCAACGCCATGCTCTATCAACTGAGCTCCATCCCTGTACCGGGCTATTTACTGGGCTATATTTCTCTATTGCAAACGATGCTTGACACTGTTGTAGTATTGCTGGATTTTCGGAACCACATTTTGTAAACTGTTTTATTTGTTACGGTTTAACTTGATAGATGGCCAAAACTATTGAGATCATTGTATATACATTTGTATAGTTATTTTCTAAAAGCTACATGCTCTGTTAAGTATTTTCCCCCGAAAGGAAAATACTAAAAACCCAAAGGATTTGGCTTAGAATAGTGCATGGTTAAAAGCCATTATGGTACAACGGGTTAGGGTTATTTGTATTCATTTAAATGAATAAATCGGGTCCTCAAGTCATTGTTCTCACTGTGATATTACAAGCGGTCTGAGTAATGTTGCCATAAACAAATGTAGTTATATAATTTCAATATTAAAAAAGTGCTATAATCACTGAATGAACAAGCGATGCATGACCCTAGTATGATGTCATTCTCTGGTGGGACATTGAAAGCAGAACCTAGTACTGTCTAATCTGCTGTTCCATATTTTTGTAAAATGTATTGTAAATATGTTGCAATGTACTTATTTTGATAAACAAAAAAATAAAAATATCCCTAGTTATCAAATGCTGTTGGAGTTTGAAAAGATTTAATGTTCATAGTGTCAATCACTAATGGAAACGAAAAACTGACCCTAACATTTCAAAAGTGCAGATGACCGAACATTAAGCAGAATATTCATTTCTTGGCAGTACTAAGTCAGTATGTGGTCCTCCGTGTTTGAGAGAAAGGCAGAAGAGATGAACATAAGCAATAGGTGTATTAGGTTTCCCTTCCAGCCTGTGGCCAGGGGAGGAGAGGTGCAATGCATCTGTCTGGAGTGCTACTTAAGCACCAACTAATAAAAAGGGGGAAAGAAATCTTGTGAAACTAGACTGACCAAAACAGAATGTGAGCTTGCAGATCAGACTGGTTTAAAACAAGGCTAGAACAAAGTTGTACTACATGAGAAATAAAAATGGTCCTGAAGGAAAAGTAAATAAAAGTCTGAAAACTGGATTATTTTATAATTTAATGAAACAAACAGCTGAGATTCAATGGTCTGGTGAGACTCATGAACGCAGCAAAATGATCCAGATTATTAATACAGAATATTTTAATGACTGCCACTATTTACATATACACAAGATTGGATTGAGCAGAAAGTCAACTCAGTTCGTTTAATATATATATATATATATATATAGTAAAAAATGTAACTCTGTCCACTGCAGACAGAAGAGTGTGATAGGGTTACTGTCTCTAGGTTGAGGCAGAACAGGGGCCTGTTCAATTGGGGAAAAAACTAGGGAGCAGTACCTGAATTTGTCCAATAAGAACACAGATTGTTGTTTTGCTACGGTGTGCCCTACTGAACACCACCCAGGTGTCTGTGATAGGCCTGTGTTGAGACTGACAGTCCTGTGTTCACTCAACCTGTCCACCTGGGTTAGGATCTCAAAATGGCACCTTATTCCCTATATAATATACCTTAGAGGAGCCACATAATCTTAGAGTCACTTCACCTGCCCATCTGGTTCAGGGTTAGGGATACTAGTCACTTCACCTGGTTCAGGTTTAGGGATACTAGTCACTTCACCTGGTTCAGGGTTAGGGATACTAGTCACTTCGCCTGGTTCAGGGTTAGGGATACTAGAGTCACTAGTGACTGTCTGAGTCAGTCTTCCTGTCCACTAGGTGGTCTGTCACATCACTCCACCTCTGCCACGTGGGCCACCTCCACCTCCATGGTCTGTATAACCTCCTGCTCCTCCATCTTCACCCCCTCAGGCAGCACACTCTGCTGAGACAGCACATAGTTCACCACCTGCATGATGCTCTGGTCTGACAAGGTGACCCCGTCACCTTGAACGGCCTGAACCGCTTCTACCGCCTCCACAGTCTCCTCCGTGATCAGAACAGTCTCGATCTCCTCGGCCGGCAGCGGCTGGGCGGGCCGGAGCTCGGGGGGGAGATCGGACGCCAGGATGGAGACGGCGTGTTCGACCTGAGTACCCTGGTTGTGGAACTGTAGCGTATCTTTCTCCAGCATGATTTTCCCCGGCAGGAGGTCGCCGTGGTACTTGGTCATGTGCTTGCGGAGGGAGCGGGCATCGATGTGGGCCTCCTGGCACTCGGGGCACACGTAGGGGCGCTCGCCGGTGTGGGTGCGCACGTGGCGCTTCAGGGAGCGGGCGTCGGCCCAGGCTACGCCGCACGTCAGACACTCAAAGGGTTTGACTCCTGAGAGAAGAGGACAGGTGTTAGAAGACAGGGAAACATTCAGCACTATGTTGCAGTCCCACAGACCCCTTATTCTCCAGCCGCCCAATGAACATCCTGTCTGCAGGGTAAGTGTCCCCATGAACATTAGAAAGGCCTCGTTGGACCCCCCCCTTCCTGCCAATGACGCGCGGTCAAATTAAGAAAACATCAGTAGCCTAAACATCATCATAAGCACCAAGTGTGCTCGATAAATAGAGGAAATCAGTACAAACGCAATGAATACATTTTTAGTCATTTAGCAGACGCTCTTATCCAGAGCGACTTACAGTTAGTGAGCGCATACATTTTTCCATACTGGCCCCCCGTGGGAATCGAACCCACAACCCTGGCGTTGCAAGCGCCACGCTCTACCAACTGAGCTACAGGAGGCTACATTACAATGGCATTATAATGAATACGTGTCGATATGACAGCAGTCAAAAATAGTCCATTGTCAGTTATTGGACACCTTATTTGTGGCCTGGCGCGTGTTTACTGTATGGTGTGAGTCGATATGCAATGGCATCAGTTGGACCCCATTTAGCCATTATCCCTTGTCCTTAAGTCACTTGCAACACTTCACAAAAAAAAAAAAAATGACATGCCCTCCTAAAACGGGTAATAACTTGGCCTTTCTAGTGTTAAGCCCATGTAGCCATTAAGCCCAACTTCCATTTTAGGATAAAATATATATATAAATGAGAAAACACTTTTCTGCTGTTTAATGTTTCAACCAATTCATCTGGTTGTTATATCCATAAAAACGTTGTTCTTCTAATCCAATCAGATGTTGTATTGTTCATTTGTGTAAGTTCCCACTAGTGGCCAATTTCAAAGCTGCAAAAAGAAAAGTGTTGAGGCAACCTTCAGATACATTTTCTTGTACCTTCTCAGATAAGTGATCATACTTTATGTAAAACTAAGAGATGACTGTTGATATATGCACATGATAGCATAGTTCATGGGCATTAAATACTATTTCATAGTTCATGGGCATTAAATACTATTTCTTGCCAATTGAAAATATATATATATATTTTTAATGCTAGCGGTCACGCCTGCATGTCACAGTAGCAACATAACTTGGTGAACTACAACAAGATGGTTTCACAGCTTACATTTTTAAATGCATGTAGTCTTATTACTGTTGTTCTCCATAGATGGCATTATAGTACATGATTGTCTTTTACACCATATATCACTGTTGTTCAAATTAAGCCCGGTATGCTCCTCTATTAAGCCCGGTATGCTCCTCTATTAAGCCCGGTATGCTCCTCTATTAAGCCCGGTATGCTCCTCTATTAAGCCCGGTATGCTCCTCTAAGCCCGGTATGCTCCTCTAAGCCCGGTATGCTCCTCTAAGCCCGGTATGCTCCTCTAAGCCCGGTATGCTCCTCTAAGCCCGGTATGCTCCTCTATTAAGCCCGGTATGCTCCTCTATTAAGCCCGGTATGCTCCTCCATTAAGCCCGGTATGCTCCTCTATTAAGCCCGGTATGCTCCTCTATTAAGCCCGGTATGCTCCTCTATTAAGCCCCGTATGCTCCTCCATTAAGCCCCGTATGCTCCTCCATTAAGCCCGGTATGCTCCTCTATTAAGCCCGGTATGCTCCTCTATTAAGCCCAGTATGCACAGGTTTGCACATGGGGATAGTGTGTTGACATCCATAATATTCAATAAACATGAGCATAAATGTTTTTTTTTGTTCAGATTTAAGTTGATTAAAAACACACAAAAACTACAGTGATGCATCTAGCCATGAGATGAGAAACCTCTGTACGGTCTCCAAGACATCTGGAGCAGACAGGTAGCGGTTGATGCCATGGTGCCTTTACAAGATGAGAAACCCTATACGGTCTCCAAGACATCTGGAGCAACAGGTAGCGGGTTGATGCCATGGTGCCTTTGACCAAGATGAGAACCTCTATACGGTCTCCAAACATCTGGAGTCAGAACAGGTAGCGGTTGTCTCCAAGACATCTGGAGCAGACAGGTAGCGGTTGTCTCCAAGACATCTGGAGCAGACAGGTAGCGGTTGTCTCCAAGACATCTGGAGCAGACAGGTAGCGGTTGTCTCCAAGACATCTGGAGCAGACAGGTAGCGGTTGTCTCCAAGACATCTGGAGCAGACAGGTAGCGGTTGTCTCCAAGACATCTGGAGCAGACAGGTAGCGGTTGTCTCCAAGACATCTGGAGCAGACAGGTAGCGGTTGTCTCCAAGACATCTGGAGCAGACAGGTAGCGGTTGTCTCCAAGACATCTGGAGCAGACAGGTAGCGGTTGTCTCCAAGACATCTGGAGCAGACAGGTAGCGGTTGTCTCCAAGACATCTGGAGCAGACAGGTAGCGGTTGTCTCCAAGACATCTGGAGCAGACAGGTAGCGGTTGTCTCCAAGACATCTGGAGCAGACAGGTAGCGGTTGTCTCCAAGACATCTGGAGCAGACAGGTAGCGGTTGTCTCCAAGACATCTGGAGCAGACAGGTAGCGGTTGTCTCCAAGACATCTGGAGCAGACAGGTAGCGGTTGTCTCCAAGACATCTGGAGCAGACAGGTAGCGGTTGTCTCCAAGACATCTGGAGCAGACAGGTAGCGGTTGTCTCCAAGACATCTGGAGCAGACAGGTAGCGGTTGTCTCCAAGACATCTGGAGCAGACAGGTAGCGGTTGTCTCCAAGACATCTGGAGCAGACAGGTAGCGGTTGATGCCATGGTGCCTTTACCAAGATGAGAAACCTCTGTACGGTCTCCAAGACATCTGGAGCAGACAGGTAGCGGTTGATGCCACGGTGCCTTTACCAAGATGAGAAACCTCTGTACGGTCTCCAAGACATCTGGAGCAGACAGGTAGCGGTTGATGCCACGGTGCCTTTACCAAGATGAGAAACCTCTGTACGGTCTCCAAGACATCTGGAGCAGACAGGTAGCGGTTGATGCCATGGTGCCTTTACCAAGATGAGAAACCTCTGTACGGTCTCCAAGACATCTGGAGCAGACAGGTAGCGGTTGATGCCATGGTGCCTTTACCAAGATGAGAAACCTCTGTACGGTCTCCAAGACATCTGGAGCAGACAGGTAGCGGTTGATGCCATGGTGCCTTTACCAAGATGAGAAACCTCTGTACGGTCTCCAAGACATCTGGAGCAGACAGGTAGCGGTTGATGCCATGGTGCCTTTACCAAGATGAGAAACCTCTATACGGTCTCCAAGACATCTGGAGCAGACAGGTAGCGGTTGATGCCATGGTGCCTTTACCAAGATGAGAAACCTCTATACGGTCTCCAAGACATCTGGAGCAGACAGGTAGCGGTTGATGCCATGGTGCCTTTACCAAGATGAGAAACCTCTATACTGTCTCCAAGACATCTGGAGCAGACAGGTAGCGGTTGATGCCATGGTGCCTTTACCAAGATGAGAAACCTCTATACGGTCTCCAAGACATCTGGAGCAGACAGGTAGCGGTTGATGCCATGGTGCCTTTACCAAGATGAGAAACCTCTATACGGTCTCCAAGACATCTGGAGCAGACAGGTAGCGGTTGATGCCACGGTGCCTTTACCAAGATGAGAAACCTCTGTACGGTCTCCAAGACATCTGGAGCAGACAGGTAGCGGTTGATGCCATGGTGCCTTTACCAAGATGAGAAACCTCTGTACTGTCTCCAAGACATCTGGAGCAGACAGGTAGCGGTTGATGCCATGGTGCCTTTACCAAGATGAGAAACCTCTGTACTGTCTCCAAGACATCTGGAGCAGACAGGTAGCGGTTGATGCCATGGTGCCTTTACCAAGATGAGAAACCTCTATACTGTCTCCAAGACATCTGGAGCAGACAGGTAGCGGTTGATGCCATGGTGCCTTTACCAAGATGAGAAACCTCTGTACTGTCTCCAAGACATCTGGAGCAGACAGGTAGCGGTTGATGCCATGGTGCCTTTACCAAGATGAGAAACCTCTATACTGTCTCCAAGACATCTGGAGCAGACAGGTAGCGGTTGATGCCATGGTGCCTTTACCAAGATGAGAAACCTCTATACGGTCTCCAAGACATCTGGAGCAGACAGGTAGCGGTTGATGCCATGGTGCCTTTACCAAGATGAGAAACCTCTATACGGTCTCCAAGACATCTGGAGCAGACAGGTAGCGGTTGATGCCATGGTGCCTTTACCAAGATGAGAAACCTCTATACTGTCTCCAAGACATCTGGAGCAGACAGGTAGCGGTTGATGCCATGGTGCCTTTACCAAGATGAGAAACCTCTATACGGTCTCCAAGACATCTGGAGCAGACAGGTAGCGGTTGATGCCATGGTGCCTTTACCAAGATGAGAAACCTCTATACGGTCTCCAAGACATCTGGAGCAGACAGGTAGCGGTTGATGCCACGGTGCCTTTACCAAGATGAGAAACCTCTGTACGGTCTCCAAGACATCTGGAGCAGACAGGTAGCGGTTGATGCCATGGTGCCTTTACCAAGATGAGAAACCTCTGTACTGTCTCCAAGACATCTGGAGCAGACAGGTAGCGGTTGATGCCATGGTGCCTTTACCAAGATGAGAAACCTCTGTACTGTCTCCAAGACATCTGGAGCAGACAGGTAGCGGTTGATGCCATGGTGCCTTTACCAAGATGAGAAACCTCTATACTGTCTCCAAGACATCTGGAGCAGACAGGTAGCGGTTGATGCCATGGTGCCTTTACCAAGATGAGAAACCTCTGTACTGTCTCCAAGACATCTGGAGCAGACAGGTAGCGGTTGATGCCATGGTGCCTTTACCAAGATGAGAAACCTCTATACTGTCTCCAAGACATCTGGAGCAGACAGGTAGCGGTTGATGCCATGGTGCCTTTACCAAGATGAGAAACCTCTATACGGTCTCCAAGACATCTGGAGCAGACAGGTAGCGGTTGATGCCATGGTGCCTTTACCAAGATGAGAAACCTCTATACTGTCTCCAAGACATCTGGAGCAGACAGGTAGCGGTTGATGCAGAGAAAAGTGGTGGACAAAAATACAAAACAAATGAGGGACAAGAAGACTAGTAGATGACTACTCATGCTCTTTTGGGTGGGGGGCCATTGGGTGGGGGGGCCATTGGGTGGGGGGCCATTGTCATATTGTCGTCCTTCATTCATCCATGTGATTCAGTTTTTTTGGTCCACCACCTGTACCTTTGTAATACAACAGCAAAGGGAGATTTGAAACTGTCTTCAGATGGGCTTTAGGAAGACAAGTTGAACTAACTAACTAATAAGAACAGCAAATGTGAAACCGCTTTCAGACAACTAATGGAAAGTTGTGTGTGTTATGGTGTTTGTGCAAAGAGGGCCAGTGCGGGTGCAGGTTTTTGTTCTAACCAAGCAATAACACACCTGATTCAATTAATCATGTCTTGATTGAAGTCTGATTAGTTGAAATCAGATGTGTTCTGATTGGCAACAACAAAAGCGTCCGCATGCTTCCCAGCCGAAACAGTTTGTGCATTCTGTATATTATGACGACATTTTGTTATGTTTTTGTTAGTTTTGGACTTCTGTGAGTTTTTTTTTCATGATGTTCGGGCACACACATTTTCTGGAGGCAAGCCGAAGTTCGGAGCCGAAGTCTACGCCCCTTCGTCAGTGATTGGTCAACAGGATTCTTCAATAACGTATGTTGTCATGAAGAAGAAAAAAAAAAACTGCACCAAACATCGTAGTTAGATGTAAAATTGCGCAACTAAGATCTCGTCGGCAAAAACTTCAAATGAATGACAGATTTCTTGAGTGATCTTAGATCAATTCTGACTATTTTGAGGAACTGGATATTGGCTACGGCGTCTCAAAATGGACAAACAGTACTACTGCCACTTTTTTCATGTCTTTTAAGGGAGTATGCGAGCACACTCGTTCGGCTTGGGGCCAGATCTAGCATGCTGACACCTTAAATCCACCTTGATCTCTGATTGGACAACCCACTGTTATGAGCGCTACTGTCAAGATGAATAGCAATGATCCATTTATTTTAATAACTTTAGGGGAGATTAATATAATTATACATATCAAATGTCAGTTTGTAAGTTTAATATTTGGAAATGAATTAAAATGGAATATTTAAGAGGTGGGCTTATTTGGGACACCCATGGGTATAAAGGCTAAACTCTGTACCTATTAAGTCCAATCTGGACTTTTTACATATTTTATAAAATATTTCTATGTCATAAATCTTTGAGAGATTTAATCTTTCATTTTATCAACACCTTTCTTACAAAAATTAGGGCAGTATGTTAGAAATGTGTAAACTTCATCAGTGAGTAGTACATTTTACTGTTCGAGCGAGTGAGACTATTTAGTGTGGTTCGCGTTAAGATGCTTACATGCACAGCTCCATCTATGAACTTGAGAGAGCTTACATTTCTCCGGTCCCGTCCCTCAAGTTTATAGCAAACCAAGGGTCTGGGCTGCCATTAGGCTTGAAGAATGACAAGATTGTGGCTTTCAGTGTCTCACCTTGGTGGTTGTTCATGTGTCGCCTGTACTCTCTGAGCTGGGTGAACTTCCTGCCACAGTGTTCACACTCTCGCTCTAGGTTCTGCTTTACTCTGCCCTTCTTGCCATGCGTAGCCTTCTTCACATGTCTCCTGAACAGAGCTTTCTCAAAGAACTCCTTACCACACACATTACACCTACAGGACAAAGGATTAACAATCAAACATTATCTAGAAAAACCTTTTTACATCAACACAAAGTGCTTTATTCCTCCCCTCCCTCGTTAGAAACAGAGACAAATAAAGAACATATCCCAAAGACTAATTGGTATGAAAATGTTTGTGTATATATTATGAACGCATGCGTTTCATGTTTGAACGTAAACTAAATAAAATCAAACTTTATTTGTCACATTAGCCGAATACAACAGGTGTAGACTTTACTTACAAGCCCTTAACCAACAATGCAGTTCAAGAAAGAGTTTTACTAAATATTTACTAAATAAACTAAAGTAAAAAAGAGTAAAAATAAAATAATGAGGGGGTACCGGTACCGAGTCAATGTGCGGGGGTACAGGTTAGTCCAGGTCATTTGTACATAGGGGTAAGGTGACTTTGCATAGATAATAAACAACGGGTGTAAAACAAATGGAGGGGGGGGGGGTATTGTAAATAATCAGGGTGGCCATTTGATTAATTGTTCAGCAGTCTTATGGCTTTGGGATAGAAGCTGTTAAGGAACCTTTTGGTCCTAGACTTGGCGCTCCGGTAAATGGGTCAGTTTTTGAAACTCTTGTCAAGGCTGTGAACATATTAGTGGTATCCTAACGTAGCAGGCTAAAAGAAACGCCTGAACGAGATGCCCCACGTATTCTGGGCCACGTATTCTGGTCCACGTATTCTGGTCCTGATGAGAATAAAATAGAAACTGACGGTAGAGGTTCTGTTGGGGGAGGTCCTCTTCTGCACTGTTCAACCCAATCCAGTAAATATGGAGGAGGAGTTAAGATGGCGTGTCGCCTTGTTAACGTCCAACACAACCGCCACGCTGATCCTCAAAACGGGGGCCCCTCAGGGGTGCGTACTTAGTCCCCTCCTGTACCCCTCATGACTGCGTGGCCAGGCACGACTCCAACACCATCATTAAGTTTGCTGACGACACGACGGTGGTAGGCCTGATTACCGACAACGATGAGACAGCCTATAGGGAGGAGGTCAGAGACCTGGCAGGGTGGTGCCAGGACAACAACCTCTCCCTCAACGTCAGCAAGACAAAGGAGCTGATCGTGGACTACAGGAAACGGAGGGCCGATGTTAGATTAATTTGTATTTTAAGAATAATGACTAAAGGATTTCACCCCAAATACAGTATAAATGTTAGAATTATCATGTAGTGTCAACCCACTAACAGAGGGGGCGGTACTAAACATTCAAGGGGGAAGGGGAAGGCGGAAACTGTTTAGAAAAGCCACCTAAAGGTGGGAGGAGTCAAGTTCAGGAGGTATAAAACCGTATGTCTGTGTCTTTGGCGTCAGAGCTCTCCATGAATAAAGATATTTTCTTCGTGGTTATGGACCTTGAATCATTTATGATTAAAACCAGAGCCTTACAACCTCTGGTAATGATTCAAGCTTAGGTTGAATTAGAGATAGAAATTCACATGACAGCCGAGCACGCCACCATTAACATCAACAGTGCTGTAGTGGATCGGGTCAAAAGCTTCAAGTTTCTCTGTGTCCACATCACAAAGGATCTATTGTCATGGTCCAAACACACCAACAGTCGTGAAGCGGGCACGACAATGCCTCTTCCCCCTCAGGAGCCTGAAAAGATTTGGCATGGGCTCTCAGACCCTCAAAGTTATACAGCTGCACCACTGAGAGCATCTTGACTGGCTGCATCACCGCCTGGTACGGCAACTGCACCGCCCTCGATCTCATGGTGCTACAGAGGGTGGTGGGGACAGCCCAGTACATCCCTTGGGCCGAGCTCCCTGCCATACAGGCCCCACGTCATAGACTGTTCTCTGCTACCGCGCGGCAAGCGGTACCGATTCACCAAGTCTGGAACCAACAGGACACTGAACAGCTTCTACCCCCAAGCCATAAGACTGATAAATAGTTAACCAAATAGCTACCTGGACTATCTGCATTGACCCCTTTTGCACATGCGCTGCTGCTACCGTTTACCATCTGTCACTTTATTCCTAGTTATAAACTCAGCAAAAAAAGAAACGTCCTCTCACTGTCAAATGCGTATATGTATATATATATATATTTATTCAGCAAACTTAACATGTGTAAATATTTGTATGAACATAACAAGATTCAACAACTGAGACAAACTGAACAAGTTCCACAGACATGTGACTAACAGAAATGTAATAATGTGTCCCTGAACAAAGGAGGGGGGGGGGGGGGTCAAAATCAAAAGTAACGGTCAGTATCTGGTGTGGCCACCAGCTGCATTAAGTACTGCAGTGCATCTCTTCATGGACTGCACCAGATTTGCCAGTTCTTGCTGTGAGATGTTACCCCACTCTTCCACCAAGGCATCTGCAAGTTCCCGGACATTTCTGGGGGGGAATGGCCCTAGCCCTCACCCTCCGATCCAACAGGTCCCAGACGTGCTCAATGGGATTGAGATCCGGGCTCTTCGCTGGCCATGGCAGAACACTGACATTCCTGTCTTGCAGGAAATCACCCACAGAACGAGCAGTATGGCTGGTGGCATTGTCATGCTGGAGGGTCATGTCAGGATGAGCCTGCAGGAAGGGTACCACATGAGGGAGGAGGATGTCTTCCCTGTAACCCACAGTGTTGAGATTGCCTGCAATGACAACAAGCTCAGTCCGATGATGCTGTGACACACCGCCCCAGACCATGAAGGACCCTCCACCTCCAAATTGATTCCGCTCCAGAGTACAGGCCTCGGTGTAACGCTCATTCCTTCGACGATAAACGCGAATCCAACCATCACCCCTGGAGAGACAAAATCACGACTCGTCAGTGAAGAGCACTGGTCTACCACTGCGAGGACGATCAGCTGTCCGTCCTGTCTCCCTGTAGCGCTGTCTTAGGCGTCTCACAGTACGGACATTGCAATTCATTGCCCTGGCCACATCTGCAGTCCTCATGCCTCCTTGCAGCATGCCTAAGGCACATTCACGCAGATGAGCAGGGACCCTGGGCATCTTTCTTTTGGTGTTTTTCAGAGTCAGTAGAAAGTCCTCTTTAGTGTTCTAAGTTTTCATAACTGTGACCTTAATTGCCTACTGTCTGTAAGCTGTTAGTGTCTTAACGACCTTTCCACAGGTGCATGTTCATTCATTGTTTATGGTTCATTGAACAAGCATGGGAAACAATGTTTAAACCCTTTACAATGAAGATCTGTGAAGTTATTTGGATTTTTACGAATTATCTTTGAAAGACAGGGTCCTGAAAAAGGGACGTTTCTTTTTTTGCTGAGTTTATGTACATATCTACCTCAATTAGCTCGTACCCCTGCACATCGACTCGGTACCGTGTTTATAGCCAAGTTATCGTTACTCATTGTGTATTTATTATTACGTGTTTTACTTTTCTATGATTTCTCTATTTTCTTTCTCTCTGCGTTGTTGGGAAGGGACCGTAAGTCAGCATTTCACTGTTTAGTCCACACCTGTTGTTTACCAAGCGACGTGACGAATAGAATTAGGTTTCTGTGTTGGTGACTTACTTGTAAGGCTCAGCCACGCTGTGGGACTTGACATGGGAGTACCAGTCCTTCTTCCAGCTGTAACACTTCCCACACACCTGGTAGAACAGAAAACAATACACAACATCAATTATTTGTATTATTATGATGATGATGATGATGATGATTATTATTCCCCCCACCTGACACTGGAAGGGCTTGAGTCCCAGGTGCTTGTTCATGTGCTGCTGCAGGTCTTTGGCCTCAAAGAAACTCTTATCACAGCTGGAGGAGAGGAAGGGACACAGACCAGTCAGGACAGGCACTACATCACATACTGTATACACACACACGGAGTGTACAAAACATTAGGAACACCATAATATTGAGTTGCACCCCCTTTTGCCCTCAGAACAGCCTCCATTTGTCGAGGCGTGGACTCTACAAGGTGTCGAAAAGCGCTCCACAGGGATGCTGGCCCATGTTCACCCCAATGCTTCCCACAGTTGTTGTCAAGTTGGCTGCTAGTGGATCTCTACTCCGAATAGCTCGTTCCATCTCATCCCCCCCAGATGCTCAGTTGGATTGAGATCTGGTGACTGGGCAGGCCCACTCAGTTGTCAGAGCACCTTACCGATCACTGCACCTGTACACAGCCCATCTGAAATTAGCCCGCCCAACTACCTCATCCCTATATTGTTATTTATTTTGCTCATTTGTACCCCAGTATCTCTATTTGCACATCATTCCAGTGTTAATACTAAATTGTAATTATTTTGCACTATAGCCTATTTTATTGCCTTACCTCCATAACTTGCTAAATTTGCACACTGTATATTATATGTATTTCTGTTGTATTTTTGACTTTGTTTTGTTTTACCCCATATGTAACTCTGTGTTGTTGTTTTTATCGCACTGCTTTGCTTTATCTTGGCCAGGTCGCAGTTGTAAGTGAGAAGTTGTTCTCAACTGGTTTACCTGGTTAAATAAAGGTGAAATAAATAAAAAACTGAAGTAAGCTGAATTCCTGTTTGTGGAACCATTCCTGGACAATCCTAGCCTTGTGGCATGGGGCATTATCCTGCTGAAAAAATAATCTATTTGCAGATTGATACACTGCTGACATGACGGGATGCACATGATTGGCAAGGACGTTCAGATATCCTGTGGCATTCAAACGTTGCTCAACTTCTATCAAGGAGCCCAATGTGTGCCATGAAAAACACACCATCACACTAGGGCTGTGACAGTAATTGGATAACCTATCTGATCCAGCCCAGCCCAGCCCCATCTGATCTGATCCAGCCCAGCCCAGCCCCATCTGATCTGATCCAGCCCAGCCCAGCCCCATCTGATCTGATCTAGTCCAGCCCAGGCCCATCTGATCTGATCTGATCCAGCCCAGCCCAGGCCCATCTGATCTGATCTGATCCAGCCCAGGCCCATCTGATCTGATCTAGTCCAGCCCCATCTGATCTGATCTAGCCCAGCCCCATCTGATCTGATCTAGTCCAGCCCCATCTGATCTGATCTAGCCCAGGCCCATCTGATCTGATCTAGTCCAGCCCCATCTGATCTAGCAGACCTAACTCCACCACACGCTGCATTTAACAGTCTTTTTTACGAACAGTGATTGAGTTATATTAGACTATATGATGACTATCCAATCCACTAATCACACTAGGAATTGTCAGCTATCTTGCATAACTCTGCAAATGTGATGATGCATGGAATGCTTTATATTTTCTCATGGTAAAAATGTGCTTCCCCAAACTAGACTCCCAATTCTCCAGTGTTTTAGTTCCTGAGCCCACTGCAAACGCAGCTTCTTGTTTTTCGCTGAAAGCAGTGGAACTCCAAGGCGGTCGGCTGCCACGCCCCATTGGTGTCAAGGTACGACGAGTTGGGCATTCTCTTATGGGTCTTCGTTGTACTGGACTGTCAGTTGACTAACTGCAGCCCGTCTGTTGCTCTGGAAAATGTGTGTCAGTCTCCTTTGTCCTCTTTCATCAATGGCCTGCCATTGGCTGGATGTCCTTTGGGTGGTGGGCCATTCTTGATACACACTGGAAACTGTTGAGCGTGAAAAACCCAGCAGCGTTGCAGTTCTTGACACAAACCGGTGTGCCTGGCACCTACTACCATACCCCGTTCAAAGGGACTTAAATCTTTGTCTTGCCCATTCACCCTCTGAATGGCACACATACACAATCCAAGTCTCAATTGTCTCAAGGCTTAGAAATCCTTCTTTAACCCGTCTCCTCCCCTTCATCTACACTGATTGAAGTGGATTTAACAAGTGACATCAATAAGGAATCAGAGCTTTCACCCGGATTCACCTGGTCAGTCTATGTCATGGAAAGAGCAGGTGTTCCTAATGTTTTGTCCACCGTTAGACAGAATATTGCACACACACCTAAAATAAACAGCTGGTAGAGGGGATACAGCAGGATGGCGGGACGTGCACACACAGGCTTGACATCACACTCACAAAACATCTCTCTCACACACACAAGAAAAGACTCAACTCACCCACTCAGATACACGCACACCTACTTAATCCAAATGAATGCTTGAGTATGAGGACAGAGAAGTAGGTCCTTACTGATTACAGGGGAACCCTCGTACATCAGGTCTGGGCTGGTGTCTCTTTAGGTGTTTACTCAGACCAGAGGCTCGGTGGAACGACCTCCCACACTGGGTGCACAGATACTTCGATTCACCTGGAGGACATTTAACAGGGATTTAACCACAGACACCTAGATTCACTAAGCCACGGACCTCTGTATTGAGTGAACAGCATAGTAATAATATCCCCATCAGTGAGCAATGTGTTCCTATGGACTGAGGACTAATACAGTTTCCACACTATTGTGCCAACCCAAACCGTACCATACTGGCTCTTTTCACATTGTCCTGTCTAGAAACTATGATGATGCCTAGCCAGTCCTGTGATGGATGCCTAGCCAGTCCTGTGATGGATGCCTAGCCAGTCCTGTGATGGATGCCTAGCCAGTCCTGTGATGGATGCCTAGCCAGTCCTGTGATGGATGCCTAGCCAGTCCTGTGATGGATGCCTAGCCAGTCCTGTGATGGATGCCTAGCCAGTCCTGTGATGGATGCCTAGCCAGTCCTGTGATGGATGCCTAGCCAGTCCTGTGATGGATGCCTAGCCAGTCCTGTGATGGATGCCTAGCCAGTCCTGTGATGGATGCCTAGCCAGTCCTGTGATGGATGCCTAGCCAGTCCAACGCAGAACAGCTCTGCTTTGATCAGCTCTACGGCTCTGTAGTGTTTCAAGGGATTTGTAAGGTAATGTTGTATTGTACACCTGTGTGAATGCTGGTGTATAAGGTGATGTTGTATTGTACACCTGTGTGAATGCTGGTGTATAAGGTAATGTTGTATTGCACCTGTGTGAATGCTGGTGTATAAGGTAATGTTGCATTGTACACCTGTGTGAATGCTGGTGTATAAGGTAATGTTGTATTGTACACCTGTGTGAATACTGGTGTATAAGGTAATGTTGTATTGCACCTGTGTGAATGCTGGTGTATAAGGTAATGTTGCATTGTACACCTGTGTGAATGCTGGTGTATAAGGTAATGTTGTATTGCACCTGTGTGAATGCTGGTGTATAAGGTAATGTTGTATTGCACCTGTGTGAATGCTGGTGTATAAGGTAATGTTGCATTGTACACCTGTGTGAATGCTGGTGTATAAGGTAATGTTGTATTGCACACCTGTGTGAATGCTGGTGTATAAGGTAATGTTGTATGGCACCTGTGTGAATGCTGGTGTATAAGGTAATGTTGCATTGTACACCTGTGTGAATGCTGGTGTATAAGGTAATGTTGTATTGCACCTGTGTGAATGCTGGTGTATAAGGTAATGTTGTATTGCACCTGTGTGAATGCTGGTGTATAAGGTAATGTTGTATTGCACCTGTGTGAATGCTGGTGTATAAGGTAATGTTGTATTGCACCTGTGTGAATGCTGGAGTATAAGGTGATGTTGTATTGCACCTGTGTGAATGCTGGTGTATAAGGTAATGTTGTATTGCACCTGTGTGAATGCTGGTGTATAAGGTAATGTTGCATTGTACACCTGTGTGAATGCTGGTGTATAAGGTAATGTTGTATTGTACACCTGTGTGAATACTGGTGTATAAGGTAATGTTGTATTGCACCTGTGTGAATGCTGGTGTATAAGGTAATGTTGTATTGTACACCTGTGTGAATACTGGTGTATAAGGTAATGTTGTATTGCACCTGTGTGAATGCTGGTGTATAAGGTAATGTTGTATTGTACCTGTGTGAATGCTGGTGTGCTCCTCCAGACTTCTCTTACTAACAAAGGACTTGTCACAGAGCAGACAGTGGAACTGTTTAACAGCGTCATGTAGACCTCTGTGCATCTTCAGGCTGTGTTTATGAGCAAACGTCTTCCCACAAACCTTGCAGGAGTGGGGCCGTACCCCTGTGGAAATAATAAACAATACTATTAGGCTAGGATTCAATCCCAACGCGGGTTATAGGCATTACTGCTTTATTGGTATTAAGGATTCAATCCCAACGCGGGTTATAGGCATTACTGCTTTATTGATATTAAGGATTCAATCCCAACGCGGGTTATAGGCATTACTGCTTTATTGATATTAAGGATTCAATCCCAACGCGGGTTATAGTCATTACTGCTTTATTGATATTAAGGATTCAATCCCAACGCGGGTTATAGGCATTACTGCTTTATTGATATTAAGGATTCAATCCCAACGCGGGTTATAGGCATTACTGCTTTATTGATATTAAGGATTCAATCCCAACGCGGGTTATAGGCATTACTGCTTTATTGATATTAAGGATTCAATCCCAACGCGGGTTATAGGCATTACTGCTTTATTGATATTAAGGATTCAATCCCAACGCGGATTATAGGCATTACTGCTTTATTGGTATTAAGGATTCAATCCCAACGCGGGTTATAGGCATTACTGCTTTATTGGTATTAAGGATTCAATCCCAACGCGGGTTATAGGCATTACTGCTTTATTGATATTAAGGATTCAATCCCAACGCGGGTTATAGGCATTACTGCTTTATTGATATTAAGGATTCAATCCCAACGCGGGTTATAGGCATTACTGCTTTATTGATATTAAGGATTCAATCCCAACGCGGGTTATAGGCATTACTGCTTTATTGATATTAAGGATTCAATCCCAACGCGGGTTATAGGCATTACTGCTTTATTGATATTAAGGATTCAATCCCAACACGGGTTATAGGCATTACTGCTTTATTGATATTAAGGATTCAATCCCAACGCGGGTTATAGGCATTACTGCTTTATTGATATTAAGGATTCGATCCCAACGCGGGTTATAGGCATTACTGCTTTAAAAGGCAACTTCAAATTAAGGCGATATATGCAGTGTTTTCCGTGAATGGAATTGCTGTGAATGCGGGAACATTGCCTTTAAAAACCATACGCCTATAACCAGCCATGGGATTGAATCCTTAATATCAATAATAACAGGGGCCACGTTAACGCAGAATTCTGCATTTCTCACACAGAAAAAATATATTAAAAAAACAGAACCATCTTGCTGCGTTGTGGAAAATGCTTCTTATTGTTATTTCTGCTCTGCTTCAGACTAATTTTGTGCATCAGTTGCATTTCTCCAATCAGACAAGAAATCTTTGCTCTCGTCGTCAGACCAATCAAATTCCCGCATTCACGAACAGGCATTCGATCAGCGGACAGCGCTCTGACCGATAACAGGGAGGAAGACGGTTATTTTTCTCCAGTGGTTTTAGCAAGTTAAAACGCAACATTAAGTGAAACATTAGGAAATGTAGCTGGCTAGATTCTTTCGATGGTAAACATAAGAAATCTGATGGTCATCCATGGTCGTTGCGAAGAACACCTCTTTCATTTTAAGCTCATTTACTTGTGTGGCTGCAAACAAATTAGCGTTGCACTTCTGTTATCAGATGAAAACGCTATTTTCTGCCGAATGTTTGCATCCATTTATTTTGTGTGATAACTGGAGTTCTCCCCTTATCACTCTATTGATGCGACAAAATACTGTTGCCTTTCAAAATTAAAACGCAGATGAAATTGTTTAAAAACAGATTTTTGGATGGTCTGCGTTTTGAAAATGCTTGATTTCGGAAAACTAACGCGACCCCTGATAACAACAACAACAATAGATTGGATTTATATAGGCTCTTCACCACCTAAGTGCTGGGGGGGAAACTGACCTGTGTGATTAAGCATGTGGATCCTCAGCGAGTACAGCTTAGGAAGGGTCTTTCCACAGATGTCACAGACAAACTCTCTCTTGGTGCGTCCCTTGGCCCTGCCGTCCCCCTCGAGGCCCTCCTCACCTTGGGACAAGGGGACCCTAACCAGGGTGGGCCTCTGGCTCTTCTGGTGCTTGTGTCTGGCCAGATGGGCTCTCAGAGAGGCAGTGTACTGGAACTCCTTGTTACACAACTAGAGAAAGAAGGATTGTAGTCAGCATTGCAGTCTGGCGAGACGATACAGCAGGGATCGTCAACTAGACTCAGCCCCGGAACGATTTTTTCTTGACCGGATGGTCGGGAGGCCAGAACATAATTACAAATAATTTGTAGACTGCAAATTGACCGCAAAAAAAGGCCAAACAGATATATTTCACTAAAACATAATCATTTTAAACCTTGCTTACATTTGTATATGATCACATACCCTGAGTGTACAAAACATTAAGGACACCTGCTCTTTCCATGACAGACTGACCAGCTGAATCCAGGTGAAAGCTATGATCCCTTATTGATGTCACTTGGTAAATCCACTTCAAATCAGTGTAGATATAGGGGAGGAGCATGTTAAAAAAATGCATTTTTAAGCCTTGAGACAACTGAGACATGGATTGTGTATGTGAGCCATTCAGAGATTTAAGTGCCTTTGAACAGGGTATGGTAGTAGGTGCCAGGCGCACCGGTTTGTGTCAAGAACTGCAACACTTCTGGGTTGTTCACGCTCAATAGTTTCCCGTGTGTATCAAGAATGGTCCACCACCCAAAGGACATCCAGCCAACTTGACACAACTGTGGGAAGCATTGGAGTCAACATGGGTCAGCATCACTGTGGAATGCTTTCGACACCTTCTAGAGTCCATGCCCCCGACGAATTGAGGCTGTTCTGAGGGCAAAACGGAGTGGTGTCGGGGGGTGCAACTCAATATTAGGAAGGTGTCTAGCTAGCTAGCTAGCATTACATAGACTACCTGGGGTAAGTATGTGATGCTGTGCAGTTACTGTAAATGAGTCATATTGTTGTTAATAAACAAACGTCTAAAACGCGTAATATCACATCTCATTACACCGCCCTCCGTAATATCACATCTCATTACACCGCCCTCCGTCATATCACATCTCATTACACCGCCCTCCGTCATATCACATCTCATTACACCGCCCTCCGTCATATCACATCTCATTACACCGCCCTCCGTCATATCACATCTCATTACACCGCCCTCCGTCATATCACATCTCATTACACCGCCCTCCGTCATATCACATCTCATTACACCGCCCTCCGTCATATCACATCTCATTACACCGCCCTCCGTCATATCACGTCTCATTACACCGCCCTCCGTCATATCACGTCTCATTACAACCGCCCTCCGTAATATCACGTCTCATTACACCGCCCTCCGTCATATCACTCTCATTACACGCCTCCGTAATATCACATCTCATTACAACCGCCCTCCGTAATATCACATCTCATTACACCGCCCTCCGTCATATCACATCTCATTACACCGCCCTCCGTCATATCACATCTCATTACACCGCCCTCCGTAATATCACGTCTCATTACACCGCCCTCCGTCATATCACGTCTCATTACACCGCCCTCCGTCATATCACGTCTCATTACAGCCTCCGTATATACTCATTAACCGCCCTCCGTCATATCACGTCTCATTACACCGCCCTCCGTCAATATCACGTCTCATTACACATCCGTATATCACATCATACACGCCCTCCGTCATATCACGTCTCATTACACCGCCCTCCGTCATATCACGTCTCATTCACAACAACACACCCCTCCGTCATATCACGTCTCATTACACCCGCCCTCCGTATATCATCTCATTACACGCCTCCGTCATTCATCTCATACACCGCCCTCCGTCAATCACTCTCATTACACGCCCTCCGTCATATCACATCTCATTACACGCCCTCGTCATACATCTCATAACCGCCCTCCGTCATATCACACATCTAAACAATTACACCGCCCTCCGTATATCACATCTCATTACACCGCCCTCCGTCATATCACATCTCATTACACCCGACCCTCCGTCATATCACATCTCTTCATACAAACCGCCCTCCGTCATATCACATTCACTTAACAAACCCGCCCTCCGTCATATCACATCTCATTACACACCGCCCTCCGTATATCACATCTCATACACGCCCTCCGTATATACTCTCATTACACCGCCCTCCGTCATATCACATCTCATTACACCGCCCTCCGTCATATCACATCTCATTACACCGCCCTCCGTCATATCACATCTCATTACACCGCCCTCCGTCATATCACATCTCATTACACCGCCCTCCGTCATATCACATCTCATTACACCGCCCTCCGTCATATCACGTCTCATTACACCGCCCTCCGTAATATCACGTCTCATTACACCGCCCTCCGTCATATCACGTCTCATTACACCGCCCTCCGTCATATCACATTATTACACCGCCCTCCGTTTAATATTCACATCTCAGTTACACAGCCCTCCCCATCCGTAATATCACATCTCATTTACCCCCGCCCCTCCGTCATATCACATCTCATTACACCGCCCTCCGCTATATCACATCTCATTACACCGCCCTCCGTCATATCACATCTCATTACACCGCCCTCCGTCATATCACATCTCATTACACCGCCCTCCGTCATATCACATCTCATTACACCGCCCTCCGTCATATCACATCTCATTAAACCGCCCTCCGTCATTACACCGCCCTCCGTAATATCACATCTCATTACACCGCCCTCCGTAATATCACGTCTCATTACACCGCCCTCCGTAATATCACGTCTCATTACACCGCCCTCCATAATATCACGTCTCATTACACCCACCTCCGTAATATCACGTGGGGCGGCAGGTAGCTTAGTGGTTAAGAGCGTTGTGCCAGTAACCGAAAGGTCGCTGGTTCTAATCCCCGAGCCCACTAGGTGAAAAATCTGTCGATGTGCCCTCGAGCAAGGCACTTAACCCTAATTGCTCCTGTAAGTCGCTCTGGATAAGAGCGTCTGCTAAATGACCAATTATTTATTTATTTATCACATCTCATTACACCGCCCTCCGTAATATCACATCTCATTACACCGCCCTCCGTAATATCACATCTCATTACACCGCCCTCCGTAATATCACATCATTACACCGCCCTCCGTAATATCACATCATTACACCGCCCTCCGTAATATCACATCATTACACCGCCCTCCGTAATATCACATCATTACACCGCCCTCCGTAATATCACATCATTACACCGCCCTCCGTAATATCACATCATTACACCGCCCTCCGTAATATCACATCATTACACCGCCCTCCGTAATATCACATCATTACACCGCCCTCCGTAATATCACATCATTACACCGCCCTCCGTAATTATTGGGAAAGTGAAGAATTTGTTTTTATATTTTTTTATTATTATTGGATATAAGACTGTAAAAACACCAGCAAATCAGCTCCAAGTGTTTTTAATGTTGGAAATCTGCTCCAAAGTTTTCCCACGCATATATATTTGGAACAGATTTCCAACATTAAAAACACTTGGAGCTGATTTGCTGTTGTTTTTACAGTCTTATGTCCATTAATAATAAAAAATATAAATGAACTTTTTTTTCTGCTCAGAAAACTTGGGGGGCCAAATAAAATCACCCGCCGGCCCAAATAAAATAATCTGCAGGCCAGTTGTGGAACCCTGCCATTATAATATCCCATTTAGCAGATGCTTTCATCAAAAGCGACTTACAGTCATGCGTGCATACATTTTTACGTATGGGTGGTCCCGGGGATCGAACCCACTACCCTGGCGTTACAAGCGCCGTGCTCTACCAGCTGAGCTACAGAGGACCACACATTGTCATGAAAAGAGATCATTCATATGATAACACTATAACATCTTGGTTCACTCAGAACTACATCGCTTCTAATATAGAAACACAACAGGGCAAGATCACTGGCTGCCAGTCATTACACACGACTCAAAAAGACACACATACACAGACAGCCGTATTTAGAGTGTCGCTACGTACACTACACTTGTATCCTCTGGTCTTCTCGTGTTTGAGTGTGTGCATGATGAGAGCATAGCGCCTGTGAAACGTCAGTCCACACTCTGAACAGGTGTGTTCTCCCTCCACCAAGCTCCCTCCGTCTGGCTGGGCGGGGCCTTGACCTGGCCCCTCCCCCACGGGCTGCTCTGTGATAGGTGTTCCATCTACAATGCCGTCTGTTGATAGGACGCCCTCGGTCTCTGCCTGGACAACGTTCTCCATCCCTGCCACCGCCGCTGCAGCTTCCATCTCTTCAACTAGTCTCTTGGCGGGTCGACCCCTCTTCTTTAGGGGTGTTGGGAAAGAGACAACAGTTAGGATGGGTAAAACACACACACACATAAATACACACATATACACACACACACATAAATACACATATACATACACACACATAAATACACATATACACACGCATACATATACACATATACACACGCATACATATACACATACATACAAACACATACTACCGTTCAAAAGTTTGCGGTCACTAAAATAACATCAAATTGATCAGAAAAACAGTGTAGACATTGTTAATGTTGTAAATGGCTATTGTAGCTGGAAACGGCTGATTTCTAATGGAATATCTACATAGGCGTACAGAGGCCCATTATCAGCAACCATCAGTCCTGTGTTCCAATGGCACGTTGTGTTTGCTAATCCAAGTTTATCATTTTTAAAAGGCTAATTGATCATTAGAAAACCCTTTTGCAAGTATGTTAGCACAGCTGAAAACTGTTGTGCTGATTAAAGAAGCAATAAAACTGGCCTTCTTGAGACTAGTTGAGTATCTGGAGAATCAGCAATTGTGGGTTCGATTACAGGATCAAAATGGCCAGAAACAAAGAACTTCCTTCTGAAACTCGTCAGTCTATTCTTGTTCTGAGAAATGAAGGCTATTCCACGCGAGAAACTGCCAAGAAACTGAAGATCTCGTACAACGCTGTGTACTACTCCCTTCACAGAACAGCGCAAACTGTCTCTAACCAGAATAGAAAGAGGAGTGGGAGGCCCCGGTGCACAACTGAGCAAGAGGACAAATACATTAGTGTCTAGTTTGAGAAACAGACGCCTCACAGGTCCTCAACTGGCAGCTTCATTAAATAGTACCCGCAAAACACCAGTCTCAACGTCAACAGTGAAGAGGCGACTCCGGGATGCTGACCTTCTAGGCAGAGTTGCAAAGAAAAAGCCATATCTCAGACTGCCCATCTTAATCTTTTATTTTTATTGGCCAGTCTGAGATATGGCTTTTTCTTTGCAACTCTGCCTAGAAGGTCAGCATCCCGGAGTCGCCTCTTCACTGTTGACGTTGAGACTGGGGTTTTGCGGGTACTATTTAATGAAGCTGCCAGTTGAGGACCTGTAAGGCGCCTGTTTCTTGGCAATTTCTCCCATGGAATAGCCTTCATTTCTCAGAACAAGAATAGACTGACGAGTTTCAGAAGAAAGTTTTTTGTTTCTGGCCATTTTGAGCCTGTAATCGAACCCGATGCTGATGCTCCAGATACTCAACTAGTCTCAAGAAGGCCAGTTTTATTGCTTCTTTAAATCAGCACAACAGTTTTTAGCTGTGCTAACATAATTGCAAAAGGGTTTTCTAATGATCAATTAGCCTTTTTAAAATGATAAACTTGGATTAGCAAACACAACGTGCCATTGGAACACAGGACTGATGGTTGCTGATAACGGGCCTCTGTACACCTATGTAGATATTCCATAAAGAAATCAGCCGTTTCCAGCTACAATAGCCATTTACAACATTAACAATGTCTACACTGTATTTCTGATCAATTTGATGTTATTTTAATGGACCAAAAAATTTCTTTTCTTTCTAAAACAAATTTCTATGTGACCCCAAACTTTTGAACAGTAGTATGTATGTATAGATACACACACACACACACACACACACACACACACACACACACACACACAGAGAGCGAGAAAGAGACATACACACAAGCTCAAAGACTGCTCTGCAAGACTAATGTATTATCCATGCATTAATCTATAGTGACTGTGATTACGTTCAGGTGTTGTGCTAGTCTATAGCCTACCTTTGGGGTGCTGGGACACTGGGGGGGTCTGGCCTACCTTGGGGGTGCTGGGACACTGGGGGGGTCTGGCCTACCTTGGGGGTGCTGGGACACTGGGGGGTCTGGCCTACCTTGGGGGTGCTGGGACACTGGGGGGGTCTGGCCTACCTTGGGGGTGCTGGGACACTGGGGGGGGTCTGGCCTACCTTGGGGGTGCTGGGACACTGGGGGGGGTCTGGCCTACCTTGGGGGTGCTGGGACACTGGGGGGTCTGGCCTACCTTGGGGGTGCTGGGACACTGGGGGGTCTGGGCTTCCTTCTTGTCCTCTCCGTCCTCCTCCAGCCCCATGTGTAGTCTGACATACCCCCCCTCCCCCATGGAGCGCTGCCGTAGCCGTCTCTTATAGGGGTCATGGGTCCCCTGAATCTCCGCCTGCACCTCCTCTGCAGGAGTAGAGACCGGCTCTGGCACCTCCTCCTTGACAGGAGACTCTGGCTCCTCTATCACCTCCTGCTTCACCTTGGCAGGACGTCCTCTCTTTCTCCTGGGGGGTTGGGGAGCAGGGGGAGGCTGGGGCTCGGCCTGGAGGGCTGGATCCACCTTCTGGTGCCCTGATGCTGACGTCTCCTCCTCCTGTGGTGTTGGGTCTTCCTGGACTACAGGGGGCGCTACAGCCAGGTGGACCACCTCAGTAGGGGCCCCCTTCCCTGGGTCCACGCTGATGAGGAAGGCCCCGTCCCCCTCGTCCCCTTCATGCAGCTGCTGCTCCAGAGCCAGACAGGCCGACACCACGGCCAGGGACTCACTGGCTCCGGCCTGGCCGCTGTGGGTCACCACCGTCATGGTCTCTGCCCCTCCAGTAGGGGAGAAGAGGGTGACCGTCTCACCTGCCTGGGCCTGGCTACTGTGGGTGACTAGAGTCACCGTCTCGGACCCAGCCTCCCCAACCACAGTCATACTCTCCCCTGGTTCACCTCCCAGAGCCTGGGTGACTACAGACATCGGATCACCTCCGAAGGCCTCTGCTGCGTGGGCCATGACAGCCAAGGAGTCCAGGGCGTCCCCTTCTCCAGCCAGCCCAGTGTGAGTCACCACGGCGTGGCCGTCGCTCCCGATGGTCATAATGTAGGCCCCAGTGTCTTCATTCAGGGCCTGTTGGGGTGCAGGCTGGCTGGACACCACCGTGTGGATGTCTCCTTGCTGGTACACCATCAGCTTCTGCTCCTCTACCTTCTTGTGGACGGACTCACAGATCTGAAGGACCTCGGCCATCAGAAGGTGTCGGGCCAGCGTGGCCAGGTCGGCCATCACGCAGAAGTTGAAACAGAGGTTGGAGGTGTAGGCAAACTCCAGCAGGGGAAGGAAAGTGACCTTGCTGAAACCTGACAGAGACAAGACACCGGGGTTGTTCATCTGACCAATTGAAAAAGAAAAGCCTCAATCATTTAATAACCCGATAACCAACGTTTTGACAGACAAGCGGTCTTCATCAGGGGTAAAATGTTCATCTGACCAAACCCACTTCGGTAAGTTGATGATTACAGGGGAAACATATTACTCAGACATCATTCCAACCGTTTTATACTCAGGTTCTATACAGCCACAGACGGTGACTTTTTCTGTTGATCTGATAACTACTCTCGACAGACATCTACCCTGATTAATCATCTGGTGGTGTGGAGTTGAAAAGTTCCATTTTACATTTGAGTCATTTAGCCTGACGCCCTCACCTGAGAGGTCGACCACCGCTTCATGACTGGACACGGCTCCCTTCTCTATAAACAGCTCATTAAAGTAGTCGCTGCAGGCGGCCAGCACAGCCTTGTGAGCCCTGTGCTCCTCGCCCTCGATCAGCAGCGTGACGTCACAGAACTGGTTGTCGAGGCGCTGCTGGTTCAGCTTGTCCAGCATCGTCTGCCCATGCCTGGGAAGGTACTGCTTCACCAGCCCCTTACTGTCTACCTGGAAGATAAACACAGGGATTATTGACATCAGATGAAACACTGATAAACATGTTTGTCAATGAAATGTATTTTGCTTGTATTTATTTAACTAAGCAAGTCAATTAAGAACAAATTCGTATTTACAAATGACGGCCTACCAAGAGGCAAAAGGCCTCCTGTGGGGACGTGGGGCTGGGTTTAAAAATAAAGGACAAAACACATCACGCCAAGAGAGCCGCCACGACAACGCTACATAAGCGACGCCGCCACGACAACGCTACATAAGCGACGCCGCCACGACAACGCTACATAAGCGACGCCGCCACGACAACCCTACATAAGCGACGCCACAACAACGCCACGACAACGCTACATAAGCAACGCCACAATCACACTACATAAAGAGAGACCTAAGACAACACAGCATGGTAGAGCCACCACATGACTACATGGTAGCAGCACAACATGGTAGCAGCACAAAACATGGTACAAATATTATTGGGCACAGACAACAGCACAAAGGACAAGAAGGTAGAGACAACAATACATCAAGCGAAGCAGCCACAACTGGCAGTAAGAGTGTCCATGATTGAGTCTTTGAATGAAGAGATGGAGATAAAACTGTCCAGTTTGAGTGTTTTTTGCAGCTCGTTCCAGTCGCTAGCTGCAGCGAACTGAAAAGAGGAGCGACCCAGGGATGTGTGTGCTTTGGGGATCTTTAACAGATCTTTAACAGAGTGACTGGCAGAACGGGTGTTGTATGTGGAGGATGAGGGCTGCAGTAGGTATCTCAGATAGGGGGGAGTGAGGCCTAAGAGGGTTTTAGAAATAAGCATCAACCAGTGGGTCTTGCGACGGGTATACAGAGATTACCAGTTTACAGAGGATTATAGAGTGCAGTGATGTGTCCTATAAGGAGCATTGGTGGAATATCTGATGGCCGAATGGTAAAGAGGATCGAGCCTTGGGGTACTCCCTTGGAGACAGAGACAGAAGATATTCTGACTTTACACATTGCACTCTTTGAGAGAGGTAGTTAGAAAACCAGGCCAAAGACCTCTCAGAGACACCAATACTCCTTAGCCGGCCCACAAGGATGGAATGGTCTACCCTATCAAAAGCTTTGGCCAAGTCAATAAAAATAGCAGCACAACATCGCTTAGAATCAAGGGCAATGGTGACATCATTTAGGACCTTTAAGGTTGCAGTGACACATCCATAACCTGAGCAGAAACCAGATTGCATACCAGAGAGAATACTATAGACATCAAGAAAGCCAGTCAGTTGATTATTGACAAGTTTTCCCAACACTTTTGATAAACAGGGCAAGATAGAAATTGGCCTGTAACAGTTAGGATCAGCTTGATCTCCCCCTTTAAATAAAGGACGCACCGTGGCTGCCTTCCAAGCAATGGGAACCTCCGCCTGTAGGGAGAAGCTGTGTAGCGGGGGGGAAAGAGGGAGGAGCATCTGGGCTAGTCGCATTAGAAGGGCTGGGAGATGAGGAAGTGTTGGACGGGCAAGGAGGCGTGGCTGAGTCAAATAGGAATCCTGACTTAATGAAGTGGTGATTAAAGAGCTCAGCCATGTGCTCCTTGTCAGTGACAACCACATCAACATTAAGGGACATGGGCAGCTGTGAGGAGGAGGGTTTATTCTCCAGGTCTTTAACCGTTTTCCAGAACTTCTTGGGGTTAGACCCAGAGAGAGAGAACTGTTCCTTAAAGTAACTAACTTTGGCCTTCCGGATAGCCTGAGTGCACTTATTTCTTAACGACAGCCAGTCAGCCTGAGTATTGATGTGGAGTAACTCTGCCAGTGTGAGCCACAGTGTGCGGCTTTTCTGTTCATCCATGAGATCCTACCATCATCGGCATACCCCACAAAGTGCAGTTATCAAACAACCTGTTTCTTTGAGTGAGTGAGTGAAAATCTGACTGGTAGTCAGTAAAGTGATCAGGCTACATCCCAAAGAAATACAGCAACACTTACAAAGACCAGTTCGTGTTTAGCCACAGTCTTCAGGCTCTTGGTCTTGTGGTGACTGGAAGTCACAATGCCCTCCTCCTCCTCCTCCTCCTCCTCGTCGTCACTGGCTGGGGTTGTGACCTTCCTTGGTCTCCCTGGTCGGCCCACCAATCTGGATCCGCCACCGTCCTCTGACAGCCCTCGCCGGTCCTGTCTACTCTGGCACTGGCTGCACTGTCTCATGTAGTCCTTCACCTGCTTCAGGATACCTGGGATTACACACCTGGGTTAATCACATTGATGTGTATTCCCAACGAACAGTACGAGTGCACACTTCATAGTTACAGCAGCTAGATGTATTCCATTCGTCATAGTTACAGTAGCTAGATGTATTCCATTCGTCATAGTTACAGCAGCTAGATGTATTCCATTCGTCATAGTTACAGTAGCTAGATGTATTCCATTCGTCATAGTTACAGCAGCTAGATGTATTCCATTCGTCATAGTTACAGTAGCTAGATGTATTCCATTCGTCATAGTTACAGTAGCTAGATGTATTCCATTCGTCATAGTTACAGTAGCTAGATGTATTCCATTCGTCATTACGGTGCATTAGTACTACTCTCGTCACATCATTGAGAAGTAGACATTTTTGGACAAAATGTCAGTTTTTTGAAATGTGCACACATGGAGAGAGGTAGACATTTAAATATTGATGAGTGGTGTGTTGACGTGTGTACTAGTGGTGCGCAGGTCAGCTGTTTGTTCACCCGCACTTGCTAATAGCCCGTCTGCAACCGCCCGTCGATATGCGTTAAAGTGAAAATCTAAGACCTAATACAGAAAATGCGCTGTAGGCTACAGTCAGAGACGGCGGAATGATTTTTTTGTTGTTGCCCGATTTAGATATGTTACTGCTTATATTTCCGACATTTTTTTAAGGCTATTTGTTAGTCAACTTGTCTATAATTAGATACATGCAGCTTCTCTTCTGTCATTACATGTTGCCCTAGAAGACTAAATAAAACCTTGCTGCACCAGAATAATGTCATAAATCGATAGAATGGATGCTTCAATCTAGTTGACATCGGTAAAGTTCTCTGTCATCTCTGCTTTTTTCGTGAAGCAAAGACGTTTAGGGACCGGGGAGAAAATGCAATAACTCTAAAAACTGAAAAGATTTTCTGTGCAAAATTTCGAAATGACAGTAACTTTTTTTTTGTTTAATACATGTATTTATTTATCAAGTTCAAAAAGTTAAAATATACATTATACAACACAATGTGAACTATTCTTGACATCATGCTCTGTTTTTAGAAAGTTTGATACTCCAGGATTTTGGCAACGAGACCTTTTATCTACTTCCCCAGAGTCCCATGAACTCGTGGATACAATTTTTACGTCTCTGAGTCGAGCATGCTAGCAGATACCCATTGACTTCCAGTTATTGTGCTAACGCTAGTTAGCATTGATTCGCAAAACTACCTCTTAACTTCCTTCATACTGGACACAGAGACAAAACGGGCAGGGCTCAGGTATCACTGAATTGATCGCTAACATTTTGAAGCGGCGCCATTTGCTCGTGCTCTGCTGCACAGTACAGTCATATCGGACTAAGATCAGAACATGGTGTCAGAAGTGCTTCAACCTTGTCAAATATAAGAAAGGAGATTATTTCACAGAAAATAATAAATTATACTTGAGTGTTGTCGGAGTTGAGTGACGAAAAGAAGCTAACTGCTCTCTCATGTGTCTTCATTGAGCAGAGCAGCAAAAGCGGAGCCGTTGCTTGAGAGAGAGGAGCAGCTAATGGTTTTACTAATGGGGGAAGTTATTTCTGATTTCTGGCAGGGCCGGGCCTTCAATTTCACAGAAGCAAATTGGGCCTGGGTAGGGCCTGAACAAAGACAGTACAATATGAAGGTAACCTAAAACTGCTTCTCCAAAAGAAATCCCTGATCACACTTCTAGTCAATATCATGGCGGCGTTGGCTATCAAAGCTCATGCGGCAGGTAGCCTACCGGTTAAGAGCGGTGGGCCAGTAACCGTAAGGTCGCTGGTTCAAATCGCAGACTAGGTGAAAAATCTGTTGATGTGCCCTTGCGCAAGGCACTTAACCCTAATTGCTCCTGTAAGTCGCTCTGGATAAGAGTCTGCTAAAAGTGTAAAACGTAAAAACACCTCATCGGGTCCAACGGTCGTTTCACCCCGAACTGCATATGTGTAGGCCTTCAAATCAAATGTACTCCTTCGATATAAAGTAGTTTTTGACTAATATTAAAATGTGTCAGCTTGTCACTTTCACGAGGTTGGAGTAATGCGTTCAAACTACTTAAGACATTGGCTCGAATCTACGTTGTGCATTTAGATTGAGAAAACTAACAACTAAAAATGAATACTTTTTCACTTCTCTCATTCACTTCTCATACTGGTCTGTTTGGCAAGAATTCACAGAAGTCTCACGATGTTGCGCCTCTGGGTTTAGAATTTAGAATTTTTGCAACCAGGAAATGGCGGAATGATTTCTGCATATTGCACCTTTAAGTGTACCATGCATTGATTGACCAATCAGACACAGGCTAAATAGCTAGCTACATACCTGGCTAGCCATATGGCTAACAAACTGCGAAGGAAATATACCTGCTGGTGTTCTCTTTTACGCGTGTTCTCTGGCCTAATAAACAATCAAAAAATTGTTGCTACATAATTTAGCTGTAGTTGCTATTTTACCTCTCCACCAATACTTCTGAGAAATTGATTCCCAAGTGTGATGCTGGTTGAGGTGCTCTTCTCCGGCGACAATGTGTGACTCGTCGATAAGTTCCTTCCTCCGACCAGCCTGTAACACCACTTCCAACTCGGTGAATTCATCCAGGCCTTTCTGCCTTCTCTGGTAATACAGTGTGCCATTCCGCACGACATAGCAAGCGGCTGCTTTACGAATCTTTCTTTTAGTATTGCCATGAGTCCCAGGCGCGTACGGCTCCCGCTCATCAGTCAGATAGCGTCTGATGGCTAAGTAGCTTTCCTCGCACGACATAACGTCAATTACCAAAATTACGCTATTTATTTCGAAAAGAAACGCATCTTCGAACTTGTAATATTAAACGTAATTTTTTCATCCGTTTAAATGCCACATAGTATGAAAAAAAAATACAATATTTCAGGATATTTTCGAAGGGGGAACGCAGTTCTTGACCGTGAGGGGTGGACTTGCATGAACAGACAAAATGGCTGCTGCACAACCGGATGTTGCGTAAGAAATGGCGGTAGAGCAGAGATACTGTACATAATGGCGAGGTAATCTTGTCTCCGCCCTAACAATGGGAGTCGGTGTCCCAAAGGCGGGAAGGCAGGCGGTCTGCTTATCGTGGACAGATTTTGACAGGACTAAACCCTCTCGCTTCGCCTCGTTCTTCTTTTAGGTTTTATGGCCGACCACAACCTACGGATGTATTGCCGCCACCTACTGTACGGGGTAGGGAACATAAAGGAGGGAGGGGCAGAGGTCTGATACCAACAGGCTGTTCTCTGCCTTTTTTTTTTTTTTTTTCACCTTTATTTAACCAGGTAAGCCAGTTGAGAACAAGTTCTCATTTACAACTGCGACCTGACCAAGATAAAGCGAAAGCAGTGCGATACAAACAACAACAACACAGGAATAAACTAAACGTACAGTTCAATAACACAATAGAAAATCTATATAAAGTGTGTGCAAATGTAGTAAGTTATGGAGGTAAGGCAATAAATAGGCCATAGTGCAAAATAATTACAATTATAATTTAGTATTAACACTGGAGTGATAGATGTGCAGAAGATGATGTGCAAATAGAGATACTGGGGTGCAAATGAGCAAAATAAATAACAATGTAAATAACAATATGGGGATGAGGTAGTTGGGTGGGCTAATTACAGATGGGCTGTGTTCAGGTGCAGTGATCGGTAAGCTGCTCTGACAACTGATGCTTAAAGTAAGTGAGGGAGATAAGAGTCTCCAGCTCCAGAGATTTTTGCAGTTCGTTCCAGTCATTTGCAACAAAGAACTGGAAGGAATGGCGACCAAAGGAGGTGTTGGCTTTAGGGATGACCAGTGAGATATACCTGCTGGAACGCATACTATGGGTGGGTGTTGCTATGGTGACCAATGAGCTAAGATAAGGCAGGGATTTGCCTAGCAGTGATTTTATAGATGACCTGGAGCCAGTGGGTTTGGCAACGAATATGTAGTGAGGGCCAGCCAACGAGAGCGTACAGGTCACAATGGTGGGTAGTATATGGGGCTTTGGTGACAAAACGGATGGCACTGTGATAGACTACATCCAATTTGCTGAGTAGAGTGTTGGAGGCTATTTTGTAAATTACATCGCCGAAGTCAAGGATCGGTAGGATAGTCCGTTTTACGAGGGCATATTTAGCAGCATGAGTGAAGGAGGCTTAGTTGCGAAAAATAGGAAGCCGATTCTAGATTTAACTTTGGATTGGAGATGCTTAATGTGAGTCTGGAAGGAGAGTTTATGGTCTAACCAGACACCTAGGTATTTGTAGTTGTCCACATATTCTAAGTCAGACCCGCCAAGAGTAGTGATTCTAGTCGGGCAGGCGGGTGCAAGCAGCGTTCGATTGAAGAGCATACATTTAGTTTTACTAGCGTTTAAGAGCAGTTGGGAGGCCACGGAAGGAGTGTTGTATGGTATTGAAGTCATACAACACAGTGTCCAATGAAGGGCCAGATGTATACAAAATGGTGTCGTCTGCGTAGAGGTGGATCTGAGAGTCACCAGCAGCAAGAGCGACATCATTGATATACACGGAGAAAAGAGTCGGCCCAATAATTGAACCCTGTGGCACCCCCATAGAGACTGCCATAGGTCCAGACAACAGGCCCTCCGATTTGACATATTTAACTCTATCTGAGAAGTAGTTGGTGAACCAGGCGAGGCAGTCATTTGAGAAACCAAGGCTATTTAGTCTGCCAATAAGAATGCGGTGGTTGACAGAGTCGAAAGCCTTGGCAAAGTCGATGAAGACGGCTGCACAGTACTGTCTATTATCGTTCGCGGTTATAATATCGTTTAGGACCTTGAGCGTGGCTGAGGTGCACCCATGACCAGCTTGGAAACCGGATTGCATAGTGGAGAAGGTACGGTGGGATTGGAAATGGTCGGTGATCTGTTTGTTAACTTGGCTTTCAAAAACTTTCGAAAGGCAGGGCAGGATGGATATAGGTCTGTAACAGTTTGGATCTAGAGTGTCACCCCTTTTGAAGAGGGGGATGACCGCGGCAGCTTTCCAATCTCTGGGGATCTCAGACGATACGAAAGAGAGGTTGAACAGGCTGATAATAGGGGTTGCGACAATTTCGGCGGCTAATTTTAGAAAGAAAGGGTCCAGATTGTCTAGCCCAGCTGATTTGTAGGGGTCCAGATTTTGCAGCTCTTTCAGAACATCAGCTATCTGAATTTGGGTGAAGGAGAAGCGGAGGGGGCATGGGCAAGTTGCAGCGGAGGGTACAGAGCTGGTGGCCGGGGTAGGGGTAGCCAGGTGGAAAGCATGGCCAGCCGTAGCAAAATGCTTGTTGAAATCTTCGATTATCGTAGATTTATCGGTAGTGACAGTGTTTCCTAGCCTCAGTGCAGTGGGCAGCTGGGAAGAGGTGCTCTTATTCTCCATGGACTTTACAGTGTCCCAAAACTTTTTGGAGTTAGTGCTACAGGATGCAAATTTCTGTTTGAAAAAGTTAACTTTGCTTTCCTAACTGATTGTGTAAATTGGTTCCTGACTTCCCTGAAAAGTTGCATATCGCGGGGGCTGTTCAATGCTAATGCAGTACGCCACAGGATGTTTTTGTGCTGGTCAAGGGCAGTCAAGTCTGGGGTGAACCAGGGGCTATATCTGCTCTTAGTTCTGAATTTTTTGAATGGGGCATGCTTATTTAAGATTGAGAGGAAAGCACTTTTAAAGAACATCCAGGCATCCTCTACTGACGGAATGAGGTCAATATCCATCCAGGATACCCGGGCCAGGTCAATTAGAAAGGCCTGCTCGCTGAAGTGTTTTAGGGAGCGTTTGACAGTGATGAGGTGTGGTCGTTTTGACCGCGGACCCATTACGGACGCAGGCAATGAGGCAGTGATCACTGAGATCCTGGTTGAAGACAGCGGAGGTGTATTTAGAGGGTAAATTAGTCAGGATGATATCTATGAGGGTGCCCATCTTAACGGATTTAGGGTTGTACCTGGTAGGTTCCTTGATAATTTGTGTGAGATTGAGGGAATCTTGTTTAGATTGTAGGACGGCCGGGGTGTTAAGCATATCCCAGTTTAGGTTACCAAGCAATACGAACTCTGAGGATAGATGGGGGGCAATCAATTCACATATGGTGTCCAGGGCACAACTGGGGGCTGAGGGGGGTCTGTAGCAAGCGGCAACAGTGAGAGACTTATTTCTGGAAAGGTGGATTTTTTGTAGAAGCTCAAACTGTTTGGGCACAGACCTGGATAGTATGATAGAGCTCTGCAGGCTGTCTCTACAGTAGATTGCAACTCCGCCCCCTTTGGCAGTTCTATCTAGACGGAAAATGTTATAGTTGGGGATGGACATTTCAGAATCTTTGGTGGCCTTCCTAAGCCAGGATTCAGACACTGCTAGAACATCAGGGTTGGCAGAGTGTGCTAACGCAGTGAATAACTCAAACTTAGGGAGGAGGCTTCTGATGTTAACTTGCAAGAAACCAAGGCTTTTGTGGTTACAGAAGTCAACAAATGATAGCGCCTGGGGAGCAAGAGTGATACTGGGGGCTGCAGGGCCTGGGTTAACCTCTACATCACCAGAGGAACAGAGGAGGACTGGAATAAGGATACAGCTAAAGGCTTTAAGAACTGGTCTTATAGTGCGTTGGGTACAGAGAATAAAAGGGGCAGATTTCCGGGCGTTGTAGAATAGATTCAGGGCATTATGTACAGACAAGGATATGGAAGGATATGAGTACAGTGGAGGTACACCTAAGCATTGGGTAAAGATGAAAGAGATAGCATCACTGGAGGCACCGATTGAGCCGGTCTCCGCGTGTATGGGGGGTGGGACAAAGGAACTATTTGAGGCAGGTTGAGCAGGACTGGGGGCTCTACATTGAAAAAGTACAGTTAGAACTAACCGAAACAGCAATAGGCAAGGAATATTGACATGGGAGAGTGGCATAAAGCAGTCACAGGTGCTATTCGAGAGAGCTAAGACAACAGCTGGTAATGGCGATGAAAGTTTGAGCTGAGGCTAAACAGGATGGGGGACCGTATAAAGGAACAGTCCAGCAGGCATCAGCTGTGTAGCTGAGTGATCATAAGGTCCAGTGAACAGCAATAGGTAAGTCCGGGAGCAGTTCAGTGGCTGCTACGCTACAGGCGAGCAGGAGGCACGGCTGGTGATTGCGTGTGCTAGCGGGCCGGGGCTAGCAGATGGATCTTCGTGGTCGTCGCAACGGGAAGCCTGTTGAAACCACATCAGACGATTACGTCGGCAGACCAGTCGTGATGGATTATTATCCAGCAATGCACTTGGATACAGGTAATAACTAATCAATCAGGTTTGGGCTGAGCTGATTGGATAACTGTAAATACGGCTCACAATGGAGATGAGAATTGTTCCTTAATATGCTTTCAAAAACAGACCGTTCCAGATGATACGGATGCTCTCACCGTATGTTTCACTCAAATTTTAGAATAGTTGTTTTTTTTACACATCTGCTGTTACATTTTGCATGTCTCCAGTCATATAAGTTTGCATATTATGACTGTAAGTTTGATTGTACTTTACAAGGGTAGAGATGCAGGATCTGTGTGTGTTTGACTGTGTCTGTGATGTTATAAATTATATCAATTTTGTGAAAAATGTGTTCACAAAAAACAAGGGTAAAGATGGTACAAGGGTAGAATTGTTCTGCAAGCATACATACCCATACACTACACTAGTAGTTACGTGTCAATGTGAAAATGAATAAAGGCTTCACATGTTTTGTCACGCATATAGTATGTGGGCCTTCACTTG